TATTATTTTAAGCGCTTGCATAAATTTATGCACAGCTAACTCCCTCTTAACCTCACTACAAAAACAAGAAAACAGAGGGGAAGTACAAAAACGTTTATTTGTAGCGTCGCCGCCACCTTATTATTACAAAAGCCAGATGCTTTTTGACTGCAGAAATGAGCGGTGGAAAAAAAATACTATACATGCATACATACATATAAATGTAAAATATGAATGAAAGTAAGCTCAAGCAATACTAAAGGCAAATAATAACCCACATGCCTACCAAGTTGAAATTAAAGTACAGTGAACTATTCCAAGTATGTGTATACTATTTAATAAATATACACACTGAAAGTTATTCCAGAAGACAGTTTCAATCCCAACAAAACTTGTGAAAAGAAAATGAAGAAATTTCTATACATAAGTATAGAGAGAGCAATGCTTTGCTTTTCCAAAAGTAACACTAATACTGCAAATTATGAATGATGTGATGAGAAATAATAGCAATACAAAATATTACAACTGAAATATTTTACAAGTTCCACAATTCAAATTAATGAAAATAAAACCAATTGAATAATATTGGTTGTTGCACTTTAAAGTCTTTCCTTTTTTGAAGGAATGATTGTAATACTGTTAATTTTTTTTATTTTTTAATATTTGAATAAATATTTGGTGTGTTTTATGTTATGTTAATAAATAAAAAAAATTCCTTACAAAAATTTGTAAAACAAATTAATATCAATTTGCTTTTTTACACAAAAGTTGTTATTAATTATTTAACACTATCCCAGGCTTATACTGAGTTCTATATGGTTTGGTTAAACATTTTATTACAAACGAATTTTTAAACCATTCTCATAAAAAATAGGTAAAAATTATTTATACCCATATATTTTTTAAGTAGAGCTAAATAAATATAAAACGCTACATAAAATTCAATTTTTGTAGATGCTTTATGTTGCTTTTCTCCGGTTATTGTTTAAGCTACTTAGTAATTAAATATTTTTAATTCCAATTTAGGTTACTTTTCATGCTTCTTTTGAAAGAAATCTTTTAGTAAAGATAAAAAAAAATAATACTGGAGCATTCTAAGAACCCCTTAATATGCACATTCGAATTGTCCAATTTGCAAAATATTCTATATAATAATATCAAATCCAAATACCCAACAGCCCACTTCTTCTCTGATTTGTCTAGTAGTTCACATTTGTCGCATTTAAGCAACATCTACTGTATAACTTAAATGCGCGCAAGTGCGTTTGTTTGTTAGTACGCCATTCCGGAAATGCCACACATAACACACACACGCAAACACCCGCACTACACACACACACACACACACATACTGCGAGTTCAAGTGCAGGCAGCCGAGCGCCGCAAGGCATACAAATGTTTTGCGCTTTCTTTTGTTCTTAACTGGGCGGCGTAAAAAACGTTTATGCTTCGGTTATTTCCCAACAATACTGCATACGCAGGTGTGTGAAAGTGTAGCCACAAACACACACACCCACACACACAAAGCACAAACACACAACCACATGCATACACCTGTTCATTTATGTAAGCAAAAGACTTAACGTTTGCCTCATTTGTTGTGCGGCCTGAGGTACAAATTTTATGCATTTCTTTCATTTGCTTACGGTTTTATGTCAATTTTAGCAGCTGGCCCGGTGCCCCAATAAGTATGCTACATAATTGCTATCCGAGGGACACACTAATGCGTACGCTGACCGTAAAAGCGCCATTAGAATTCAATTTTGCAAAACACGCTGGTGCTTCGCACTTCCACACTGGCATATATGCGAAATATTACAATTACACACACACACGCACGCACACTCACACACATACACTAATTGAGTGGCCTGACCGTGCGTGACAATCAAAATAAATAAGGCCATAAATATGTGCGATAATCGATGCACAGAACTTAAATTGCTTGATATTGAGCGACGGATTTATTAAGTGGAAATGGCAGACACATTTATGCAGACACATTTATACACACACACACACACTCAGAAGACATGTTCAGAGCGCAGCAAACTAAAATAAAAACAAGAAAGGAATGCTAAAGTCGAGCAGGCTCAACTCTTAAATACCCTGTACCACCCCACAAAAAAGTAATTTAATTAATTAATTAATTTAATTTAATTAATTAACTAAATTAATTTAATTAATTAACTAAATATTAACTAATTAATTATAAAATATTCCATGCATGCATACATACATTTACATTTACATCAGAATCGTGCCTTATGCGTGTTTGTGTACTTGTATGTATGTGTGCATTGGGCCTGGTTATATGGCTATAACTTTCTTTTTGATCATTCTATCATAATGAAACTTGGTATACGGATATATAATTACTAACCTAATGTGACTACCAAATTTAAGTTTAAAATTCCAAGAATTATGGGAGTTATAGAAAATTGGTAATAGGGGGGGAGTGGGGGGTTGGATCAGAAAAAATGAACAAACTTGTCCTTTCTCGGTCTCAGGAGAATCTGTATACCAAGTTTGGTTATTCTAGCTCTTATACTTTCGGAGATCCTTGCGTTCATACAGACAGACAGACGGACAGACAGACGGACAGACAGACGGACAGACGGTCAGACGGACAGACGGACAGACGGACATGGCTATATCGACTCGGCTTGTCATGCTGATCAAGAATATATATACTTTGTGGGGTCTACCAAGCCTCCTTCTGTGTGTTCCATGTGCACTCGCACAAAACTAATATACCCTTGTACCCTTTGGGTACAGGGTATAATAAATACAGTACGAACGAGTTTAAGCGCCAACAAGACAACAGGAATTCACAATGCTTGTTTGGCTGTGATCTTCCAGCGAGTTGTCTTGAATATTTGTTTGACCAACGTGTTCTACTTAAATGAAAACTGAAATAATAAAAAAAAGGAAATTATTCTGATAAACAGTGCATACAAGTATAATATTAAATTCCCAAACGTATGAATGCTTTTGACAATCTATTCAGATAAGTGTTGAGAAAAGAAATCTTGAAGAAGCTAAGCCTTCAGTTCATCTGACTGATGAATGCTTTTGTATTGGAAATATGGCAGGAAACGTTTGTCATCGTAATCCCACGTCATCAATATAACAAAAATATATTATATGCTGTGATGCATTAAATAAAGTTTGTGGAATTGCAACATCGAAGCAACATCACTATTTTAGATAGAGTTATTCAAATGATGCTTACAATAGAATCCTTTCTTCTGCATTCATCCAATTACGGATTGCTTTAAATAGTTTATAAGTACCATTACCTGAAATTGGTGCTCCCATTCCGAAATTAAAATCATTCTTTTCTTCTCAATGTTCTCGTTAAAAAATAAAACTAATTTAAAACGATTATTTGACAAACACAACAGCAGATTTGAAAACACTTTTCGTGACCAAAAAAAAAACAGCTAAATGTTTTTTCTAACATCTAGCATGAACAGAAACAAGTCCAATTTATTTACTAGCGCACCAAATGTGTTATATTTTAAATTAAATTAAATCATAAAATTAAGCTAACATAAATTATAATGAGATTGTATATGGAACATATTTTATTTGCTACTCAAAATTATTATAAAATTCTGTACTTAAAGTACATTTTTATTTATATTCCCGAATGGAAATAAAAATATTTTTCAACTGCAAAAATCGCTTTTTTTGAAATGATTACATTTTCACATTTCTTGATTTCCGCACATAAAGTATCAGTATTTGCAGCATATTAAGCTTCATATAATACAGTGAATTGGTTATATAATCAAATCATAAACTTTCTTCGCTGAAATTTTATTTGCTTTTTTTTACAATAAAATTGGAAGTGGCGCCTACACGATTAGTACTGTACTTATATTTTAACCACTTGGCCATGGACGCTAAACAAATAGCAATAAAAGTCGAAAAATAATAAGGTTACAGCCGGCACTCTTGTGCATGTGTGTGCGCGAGGACTTATGTGTGTGTGTGTGTGTGTGTGTGCTTTATATGCCACACCCACACTTAAGTGCCCTTTAGCGTTTATTGCGGCATGTGGGAGGCAGGCAGGCAGGCAGGCAGGCAGGCAGGGAGCCCGAAACTTGAGCGCTAGCGGAAATTACCCATACACATGTGCGCTGGCAAAGTGATGCTTGTTGATTTGCCGGTCCTGGGTTTCGAGTTTCTCGTCTCTGGTAGCTGCTTGATGCCAGAATATCAGACCAAACAGCCACAATCAGCGGACTAAGCGGCCGTTCGACCACCCACAACTTTGACTGCCTAATCTCCATCGCAATCCCCAACCCCATCGGCGTCTCCATCGCCATCTGCTGTTTAACGCACGGAAGTTTTGAACTTAAAATCCATCCGTGTGTACATAGTTTAAGGGGAAGGTGCGCTTATAAACTCATAAATCTACAAGTTGTGCCACATAAATAGTTAGGAAACATACACACACACTATAACCCAGGTGCGCATAAATTTTGACTGCATTTTAGGGCAGACTTTTTAAAAAACTACTTCACGCCTCTACAGAGCTGCATTCCCTTGAAGCACACTAAGGTAGGCTTTTAATTTGCATTAAAAAATGCATTTAAGATAAATATAAGTAGTGATAGATTCTAAGAAAAGTATGATGCAAGATTTTATTAATTTCTTTTTTCATATTTCTTACTATACTTGATAGAAATAAATAAAGCATAATTGTATTGGTTTGGGCTTCATTTTCAAATCATTTCAGTTTCCTATATATAAGTCTTGCTAAAGATGATTGCTAATTTTTCCTGCAACATTTTTGGAATGTTTAAATATTATTCTGGTTTTAAGCCTTATTGCTTAGGCAGTTTATTCTTAAGTTGAATAAAGAAAAGCTCTGCCTTTCCTAGGCATTAAAGCAGTTGGCCAGTTGCCTAAATTGATGCAAAAATTTTGGGGAAAACCTTGTAGAAGCAGTTGGCTTTTAAATTGTCATACGCAGCTAATAAAACATGCCACTTTGCTATTCATTGCAGTGCTCAACATGCCCACCGACGCAGGCGTTGCTGCCACAGCCAGCCTGACCGCCACAGTCACCGTCAGGATGACCGCAACACTGCCACAGCTGCGGCAAATGCTTGCGATGGCTTTGCTCGCCATTAGTGTCACTGCTGCCGCCTCCGCCTCCTTTGCCGTAAGCTCGACCACGTGCGGTCCCAATTTCCCCAGCGCCTGCAGTTGCGGTCGCGAGCTCTACGAAAGCGAGGTCCAGTATATTGTCAACTGCACGAATGCGAGGCTGCGGAACACCAGTGTGCTGGAGTTTATGCCGGAGGATGTGGAGATACTCATTTTCACGGGCAATATAATACCGGAGTTGCCATGGAATGTGTTTGGGACCATTAACAATTACAAGAAGCTGCGCATCGTCGACATGAGCAACAACCATATACGGGAGATTCGGGGCAAGAGCTATCATCATGTGCCGCTGGTGGAGAGACTGATCCTGAATCACAACAACCTGAGCATTTCCCGCTACGACGATGAGGTGAATCATCATCATCCGCGTGTGTTCAGCAACTTTGTGAACTTGCAGAGCCTCCATCTGACCGACGCCTTCGAGGACAACAGTTCGCCACAATTGAGCGAGGACCTGCATGACATTTTCGTGAACAGTCAGCTCCTGAAGCTGCAGAAATTGCATCTGGAGCAGAACGAGATCACACACTTCAAGGACCGCAACGTGTTCTGTGACTTGCCAGCCTTGCGCGATTTGCATTTGGGCGACAATCTGCTTAAGGACATTAACTTCGAGGTGCGCTGTCTGAAGCAGTTGCGCTTCTTGGATCTGGAGCGCAACAAATTCCAGTTTGTGAAGCCCGGAGATATGCGTGTGTTGAATGATTTGGAGGAGCGCGTGAATCGCACCGTCAATCTGATTGTGGACTTCAACTTGAATCCGTTTGTCTGCGACTGCAAGATATCGCCGTTTCGCACGTGGATACAGTCCACCCGGGTAACGGTCAGGAACAAGGACAGCCTCATGTGCTTCCATGAGGACAGTCTGGCACGTGGCACCGTCGATCCGGCGCCCGCACACATCCTCCAGCTGGACATGCAACCGTGCGCGGCCGCCATTGCTGCAGCGGCATCCTTTTTCAATGCAGCCGAGGAAGAGGAACGCTATGGGGAATTGCAGCCGCACATGAGTGGACACACGGCCACCCTGATCTTCTTGCTCATCGTACTCAGCATGATACTACTGGGCTTGCTGGTCGCCCTAGTCTACGTGAGTCGCGACAAATTGAAGTACATGATCACGCCGGTGTTCGATAATGTGGCCAAGAAGGTGCAGTACACGTCCATAAAGGACGAGGACTGCCCTGAGGTGCATGTCTAGGGTGTAGCCCATAGAATTTCCTCATATCACAACAACACCAACAACAACAAGAATGAGAACAACAGCCAGTACAGTTTAATAAATTCTTTCTTTTTGCCATATATAGTGCACATGTTGCCATCAAAATTATGCAAAATGTGCCATCCATTCAGAAAGGGAACTACGAGTCTAAAAACCAGAACCGAAACAAAAAACAAAACAGCACACATATCATTTGTAAAACCGTTTCAAATACTTATACACACAATATGAGGTAAGCAAAACGAACAGACATGCATATTCGTATTTATAAATAAACAGGGCGAATGTTCCAAAGCAAAGCATACTTACATAATAAACCAAGTTCTTGAAACTAGCCAAGCGATTTCGTTGCTATTTGGTACACTTTTTTGTTTTTGTTTTTGGAAGAATGGGACGCACTTTGCTTTGGAACGGCACAAAAAAAAAATCGCACACACACACACACACAGACAGACATATTGTTTCGTAGTAATTAAGTGAATTGTTGCATTTAGCGTGTCAACAATACAAACTGTAAGCGCCGTAAGGGGCGTTTGATTAATTACAAAATTAAATTAATTTTAGCTGTTTTTCTAAGTAACCCTTAAGTCAGTCTTGTTATGCGTTCTTTGATTTCATATACCTTTAAATCGAGTTATATATCAATCAATTTAGCAGCAAGACCATATACTATATAATTACAAGTATACTTATATGATGCGTATTTAAATATATACATATATCGTAACAAACACTTTAGTGTTATCTGTGATTTAAGTTTAGTAGCTTTACTTTGTTAAAACTCTAAATAAACCACAAACAGAACGAGCAACACATAACAAATGAAAACATGCACATGAACAATTTGTGTGACATAATTCCATACATATACAAATACATATATGCATATGTATATGTATGTATGTATGTATGTATGCATATTCATAGATTGTGTTTATCTGCCACAATGTAAATGTGTTTATCTACCACAATGTACTTTAAAATGTTATTAATAATTTTCACATTACTTTTACTGCTTATCGTTTTGATATTCTGCAATTAACACACCGTTTTTATAAATAAACTTTGACAACAAAAACTGATTAACTCGAAGTGTTATTTATCTATGAAGAAAATGAATATATAGTAAGTCCCTTGTATATCTCGTAAGCATGGCCGTAGCGTGGGGGGTGCAAAGCGGTCAGGCTTAACTACATATCAAGGGAACAATCTTTATATACTATACTTTAAAAAAATATAAATAAATGTAATAAACAAAAATATATTTACATGCGAATATTAGTAAAATTAAATACGGTTTAACTACTTTTAATTCTGAACCGTCGAAACAAAATGATTTTAGATTTCTTTATCTGCCATAACTTCCTTTTGATAACTGCTCCGACCTAAGATACGGCTACCTTTCCGTGTGAGCTGGCAAAAATATCCTATACAACTGAGAAACATCCGAATTCTTTTTAGAAAATTAAGTAGGCTTAATAATATAAATTAACTTTCAAACTGAGAGCCCATTAGAACAATTACATATTTTTGAACAACATCAACTTTTTGTCTATACCTATTCATCTAGATTTCAATAATTTTTAAGAATACGTATATATATAAATTGATCATTTATGTAAGGAAACAAAATTTCAAATTGTTAAATTTCGCACTCTCGATCACACCTTTTTTTTAGCAAGTTGTTTTTATTTTATTGCATTCCAAATCTTTGGATGAATACATTTTCATTATTTTGGATTTAATTTTTCTCTGCTTTTCCATATTTGCATTGTGTTTTTTGTGTAGTGGAAATAATTTGAAAATCGGCCAAAAAATTCTGCCCCCCTGGACTAAATCCTGGCTCCGTAAATACTCGTAAGCCATATTTAAAATTTTTATGTGTCCAAATTGCTAAGTAGAAAGAAATCAATCATCAGTTGACAAAACGTTATTTATAAATACTTCCAAAAAATGGTAAGCAAAGCCAATGTTAAACGTTTTTGAAAAAACATTGCTTATTCAATGAAAAGAATAAAATAAAGTGGCCAAATTTGTTCTTGCAAGCAAAATGGCCGTCCTAATAATAAAGCTTAAGCCAGACAACGGGATTTTAAAAATACTGTTATCGTATTCTGCGAAGTTTGTTTGTTCACAAACATAGAGAATGCAAATCCTGTTCGGCTATTTTAAATCAAGAAATTCTTGTTATAAGTTTTCCCCAATCGTTAGGTACCTGCGCATGCAGAAAAGAAACGTTTAATTTTAAAGTAGCGTCAGGCTGGAGAGCAGAAACAGCTGACCATTTGTCACTTGTTGAATGTAGCGCTGCCAGACCGCTATAAAAAGTTATAGCACGGACAGCAACGCATGTTACCATTTCTAATCAGAAGCGCTTTGTTATTGCGGTCCGCATTTAACATTTGTAAGTTAAAATACGACTGCCAAAACAACAAAAACCGCAACATAATTAGATATAGGGCGTGCAGTATAAACATAAATGTTTAAAACCACGACATAAAAGCGCAGTGAGTGTTTGTTCGCGACAGCATACCAGTTTGTGGTTGTAGTTAAGCGTGTAATTAATATTGTTGTTCTTTCAAATAACATTTTAGTTCAACCCTTAGGGGTACATTAAGAGCAATTGCACTAATAAAAACGCAGTGCTCTGCTTTGTTTGTGAGTTCTAGCTTTTACAGCGCCATATGTTTTTTAGTATTTGTGTGTGTGGGTGTGTGAGTGTGCACTTTAAACAAATAAGTTTTTGCCAGCCTAATCCAAAATCAGTTTCATTATGCAACGTCACCGTCGCTGGATCTAACAGACTAACTAAACTACATAGTTTGAAACCAATTGCATTTAATTTCAGTGATATATTTTTTAAAGTTTCCACACTCGCAAAGTTTACATAGACAAGGTGTGTGTTGTAGAGTCTGCTGCTTATCAGCAACAATTAATTGCAAATAACACGCTCCTCTGATAAGCCAATTTCGCTAAATCACTCCCCATTCCTTTCACAGATGCTCCGAACGTGTCAGCGTGCTTTGCAACGCAACAGCCAAAGCTTTTTAGCCAATCAGAGGCAAGAACTTCAAGAAAAATTACAGAGCCGGTCTTTTAGTGTAAAGGGTGCCAGCACAATGGACAAGTTTGATTTGCCCAAACGGCTGCAGGGCAGCGTCTCCAGCGTTTGGAACGAATACATAACACTTGCCATGAAGTACAATCCGTTGAACTTGGGGCAAGGATTTCCCGACGACGCACCGCCCAGCTATGTCACTCAATCCCTTGCTGACATTGCCAAGGATGCGAATCCTTTGCTGCACCAGTACACACGTGGATATGTACGGAAGCCTGCAAGAAGATAAAAGTAGTTTCCTAATTGAAGACATTTCCCTACAGGGTCACGTTCGCCTTGTACAGGCACTGGGAAAGCTCTATAGTGGACTGATAGGACGCGAACTGAATCCACTAAACGATATACTGATCACATCAGGTGCCTACGAGGCTCTTTACTCCACCATTATGGGTCATGTGGATACGGGCGATGAGGTCATTATAATTGAACCCTTCTTTGACTGCTACGAGCCAATGGTTAAAATGGCAGGTGGTGTGTCTCGATTTATTCCGCTCAAGCTGGTAAGCAGAAGTTTTGATGTGTCTAGGCGGAAGTTTTGATTACTTGCCTTTTCAGCAGTGCAAAACGGAAGGTCCAATTAGTTCAGCCGACTGGGTTCTGGACGATGCTGAGTTAGAGCAGCTGTTCAATGCGAAGACCAAAATGATTATCTTGAACACGCCACACAATCCCACTGGCAAGGTGTTCCATCGCAAGGAGCTTGAGCGCATTGCTGAGCTGTGCCGAAAGTGGAATGTGCTTTGCGTATCGGATGAAGTCTACGAATGGATGGTGTTCGATGGCGTTGAGCACATACGGATATGCACGTTGCCAGGAATGTGGGAGCGCACCATAACCATTGGATCAGCCGGCAAAACATTCTCCGTGACCGGCTGGAAAATTGGCTGGGCCTACGGTCCGGAAAATCTCATAAGAAATTTGCAAATGGTGCATCAGAATTCCGTGTACACATGTCCCACACCCCTGCAAGAAGGCGTGGCGCGCAGCTTTGAATTGGAACTGACGCGTCTCGGGAAACCGGAATGCTACTTCTGTAGTTTACCGCGAGAGTTGCAAACCAAACGCGATTTTATGGCAAAATTCCTAAGCGATGCTGGAATGCGTCCGACAATACCAGAGGGTGGTTATTTCATGTTAGCCGACTGGTCGCCGCTGGCCCAGAAAGTCGATTTGAGCTCAGAGCCGGACAAATATCGTGACTACAAGTTCACCAAGTGGATGACGAAGAATATGGGCTTGCAGGGCATACCACCCAGTGCCTTCTACAGTGTGCCAAATAAGAATTTGGGCGAGGATTTTGTACGCTATTGCTTTATAAAAAAGCAGGAGAATCTGGACAAGGCAGCTCAGCTACTACAGAACTGGAAATAGCTCGTGCACAATTAAAGAGGTGAATTGTATATTTTTGTTACGCCAATAAACGAATTTCCTTTGAATACTAATACGCTGAAACGTCATCTCATGCGTCATGCATGTTTGAACGTGTAGGGGAGCTTCCGCATAACCTGCGCCGCAAATAGAATTACATAACCATGATGCTTCTGTATTGTAGCCTTACTCCAATCTCCTTTTTATTTGCAATCCAATGACATGTTCATCCGCACCATACATGTGTGGATATTTATGTTATTTGCGTGTCTGCTTTGTGTGTGTGTGTGTTTAATTAAACTAAAGGAAAACGATTAAAGCACTCCAATTTAGAGGTCGTATACCGACTTCAAAGCCAATTCGGGCTTGTCATAGCCAAGCTCTTCAATGGTTGGTACGCCCAGCTCCTTAAGGGTGGGGCTGATCTTCTCCAGCAAGAAGGGATATAGCGTAGCCTGGTGGTCTCCGCACTTGTCTTTGCAGCCTTCCAGCCACCTGATGGCCAAAGCAATGTCGTTGACACGGCGCGCGGCACGAAGACCAGCCTCAATGATCTTGGGGCTGGGCACCAAATCCATGCCAAGCAAATCGTTCATGCCTTTGCGGATCTCCCAGCCATCAATGCCTTCACGGCTGAAGTATTTCTCGTAGCGTTTGTCGAACTCTTCGGCCGATTCCTCAGTGCCATGGAGGCAGCGCACGGCGGCGACGCGCGATGTGCCACTCACGGTACCGCGCAAAGCGTTGGCAAGTTTACCAGCTGTGATGCGCAACATGCTGCAAAATTCAAGTTAAACAATCAATAAGTTGCAAAAAATTTTGGTTAAGTAATCGCCTTACTTTCGGGTTCTGCTTTTTTTTCTTCACACACGGATAGAGATGAGCGAATGCTTTCGATATAGCTGTTGGTTTGTCAGTCACCAGTCACGAAATTGCAGCACTGGCTATACTAATCGAAAAGTTTGCGATAATTTCGGTGTTGATCAGAGTCTAGTGTTGTAGAACATACTTTTTCAGCTGTCAAAGTGCCTTCGTGAATCGCCCTGTGGCCCGACTAGTCATTGCCTTTTCTATCGTCGGTGCGAATTTTCTCCTGAAAATTATTTAGCGATACAGTGCGTCGCCAGAGCATTAAGTATATATTTAATAAAGTACGCATTCACAACACACCATGTCAGCTACAGCAGGGTAAGTGCATTAATCGCATCATTATGTCCACACACAGTCGTCGGCCGCGCCGCCGTTCTTGTCTGCGACACTTGCATTCCGTTTTTTGTGGCTTCTCTTTGTGCGAAGCGTGCTTTGTGTGTGACACGATTGTGCGGCGGCCGCGGCGTCCATTTTCTATGCGTCTTTCAATATGCAGGGCAAAGTACTTCAGTTATGCTAATCACACATGACCATGCCTGGTCAGCGCTATGCTAAATGTGGGCGTGTCCCAATGCATTGCGTTATTTTTGGCGATTGGCGAACCGTACGCGGTCAATTAAATGCCTGACATTTGAGGTTATGTTAGAAACTGGCGAAGATTTTGTTTCGCTCGAATCTGCATAATTTCAACATGGACTTTAGATTTGAGCCCTGCTGCCATATAAACAATGCAGCATATTTGCTCGGCGTTGTATTGCGCTTTTGATATAGAAAAGGTGTCTTCGCTTTTGTTGCCGGGCCGGCTTTAAAGCGTTGTCATGGGTCGTTGTTTCCATGCTGCCCCCTTACTTTGAGATGTTTGTTTATTTAAATATGTTATTATTTGACGCTTCAGCTCAACCGCAATCCCCCCACCAGTTTCGTGGGCTCAGCGAAATGACTTGGTGTTTGTCATCATCGATGTTGAGTGCAAGGACATTGAACACAAGTAAGTGCAGTAACTGCTGCTCCTGCAAAGGACAACAAAGTTGATTTGATTTTTATCCTTTTTTCTGTTTTACAGAGTGACAGACAACAGCTTCACCTTCAAGGGTGTAAATGCGCTAGATGCCTCGAAAAAATACGACGTCACATTGAACTTCTTGCACTCGGTTGTTCCAGAGAAGGTGACAAGCAAGAATATTGGTCGCTGCCTCGAATTCACAATCCCCAAGAAGGAGAGTGGACCCTACTGGCCCACTCTGACCACGGACAAGACCAAATTGCATTTCCTTAAGGCAAACTTTGCCAAGTGGCGCGATGAGTCGGACGATGAAGAAGGTGGGTGTGCCCCAAATTGATTCTAATATTCATTTATAACAACTTGCTTCCGCTTGCGCAGATCCCAAGGACAATGGAATGTTTGGAAACTTCTTGAATAGTTCGGGCGGTGATTGGAACAATAAATTTGATGACTTTAATGTCGACGAGGATGATGACTCTGATGATAATATCCCAAGCCTTTCGCAGAACGACGAGGAAGAAGATGAGGGGGCCGAGGGTGATAAAGAGAAGAAACCCGTAGCTTAGAGCAGCGCTCTATGCTGAGTTGGAGTAGTAGCTGTAGCGTTAACTAAAGCGCTTACATATATCGTTAAGTCAACACCCAAACAAAAACACCCTCACCATAAAAAACAATCACACACACATGCGTACACTATTCCAAAACAACAAAAAAATAACTAAAGCTGAAAACGCGAAATGTTAACAAGAAGAAGCAAATACAGCAGCAACGATAAATAGTTGGCGCCGATAAAAACAAAACATAACTTTTATGCTAGAATTTATCAAACAAAAACAAAAAAGCTACAACCAATTTTTTGCAAAATCTGATTTGCAATTTATTATTTTTTTGTTTCCTGTAAATAAAGGAATACAATGTATGTACCAGTCTTCAACATTTTTCTTAGAATTAGTGGAAGCTGCCTTAGTGTGAATTGAATATGGAATGAAGGCGCTAAGAATTTTGTGACATGGCGTTGACAAAGGCACCTACATTACGCCAGTGAACTGTAACTGTATTGTCTCTTTTTATAGTTTAGTTGGAATTGTTTAAATTGCGACGAATTTCAATAAAATATATGAACAAAAATGATGCATGAGAACTCCCATACCACGGAACTTCGCAATTGAAGACAAAACGGGCAACTAGGTGGCAACGCTGTTACTTTGACAACGCGGGCACACACAGAAGTTTTTCGAATGTGATGCAAAATAAATTATGTACGTTTGATGTTTCCTGTCAACCATAAACCCTAAACTCCTGCCCCCTTAATAATTAAAGCAAAAATGAACCCGAAAGATGATATTCGCTTGGCTTTTGTGGCCGAATGGTATCAGGTGGAGGCGGCTATAATACGCACATTCGTCATATCCTTCCATGTGCGGGACAATGCTGTGGAGGTGGTAAGTACCTAGCCTCCTCATATTTGATGTCTATATGTGTGTTTATAACGGTATTATTTCCATAGTTCGATCAGCGCACCAAAAAAATATTTTTGCGTCGTACGAAAGTTCCGGAGCTGTCGCAACGCGACTTCTTCGTGGGATCCAAGATCAATGTATTTGGACGCCAGTTCGATATTATTGACTATGCAGATGATATGACCCGCGTCACCCTGGCCAAATATCGCAAAAAGTGGGAATATATACATTTATATCTTTATAGATAGTCAATAACAGTTATTTCCGTAGGGGCTTTGTCCTGCTGAAGCACAGCATGTGGGCCAAACATCTAGGTGGATTTCTGATGACGCTTAACGAGAATAAGATCAACATTAATAACGGCAATATGGTTCAGTTTACGCCCAAGACGGTGACACAGTTTTTGGCCGGCAAACAACAGGAAGATGTGCATGCTAGCGTTTTAATGAACGAATTGCTCGCCGGACCATCCATCGCCCTGGAACTGATTGGCAACAATGTGGTGGACGTTATGGCTGCGTGCCAGAAGGGCAGCAGTGATAAGGTGAAGCTATCTCCCAGCATGGAGGCTTTCTTCGAGCGCGAAGAAATGCGGCTGGGCTTCTATTGTCCTGCGACCGAGAAGGGTGTGGACAAGGACTTGAGCTATTTCTTCGAAGAGAAGCACAATATCATCAAGGATTGTCTGTTCAAGAACAGCACGCTGGCTATCATAAAGCCGCACAGCATTAAGGACGGTCTCCTGGGCACCATAGTCAACGAAATACTTTCGAATGGCTTTCAACTCAACGCAATGCGCATGATTCTCATGCCGCGTGTCAATTGCGAGGAGTTCTATGAGGTTTATCGGGGCGTGCTGCCCGAGTATATACCCATGGTAACCCAATTGGCCAGTGGCGTGTGCATGTGCCTTGAGATTACGTGCGAGGATGACAGTAAACGAGCCCATGCAGAATTTCGCTCTTTCTGCGGGCCCATGGATCCGGTGAGTGATCCGTAAATTCAAATTTAATTCCATAGTTCAATAACTTTATTTTTCATAGGAAATTGCCAAACTGCTGCGTCCGCACACTCTTCGTGCTAAATTCGGCAAAACAAAGGTTCTGAATGCCGTCCATTGCACTGACTTGCCCGACGATACCAATCTTGAGCTGCAATATATGTTCAAGATAGTCGATTGAATCAGCTTGCGTTAGATTTGCAGTTTCACACTACAATGTTTTATTTATTAGGTTCCAGTTAACGTGCAGTGCGTGTGTGCGTGTGTAAATGTAAATAAATTAAAAGTAATTAGGCGATATACAAATACTGTTATGTAAAACTAAACACCAGTGCTCCGGCTACTGCAGCTGGGCACATCGTCAGCGTCCAAGTCACACTTAAAATTTTGCAGCCGGCGCCTATCCTGTTCCTGGGGTGCCTGCAGCCCGGAGCCTCTGGCGTACTGGAAGGCCAGTATTCCAAATATAATGATGCAGATCAGCATGGCGGCCGCATAAAAGAAAAATCCGCCTTTCTGGAAATTGAGGAACTGCAGCTGAGTGACGATCACAACAATGAGGTTGCCAAAAGCATTATTGAGGAACCAAGCAGCCATTACCACCGATTTCATCGATCTCGGCGCCTGCGTAAAGGCAAACTGCAAGCCTGCAATCGAGAGCAGCAGCTCGGCTAGCATCAGCAGCAGGAATTGGGGCAGTTGCCAAGCAATGTTCACTGACTGACTAGGGGAATACTGAAAAGGAAAGCCATGAAAGGTGGGTAAATCAAATGCATCTCTTACACACATTATCTGCATGTCTGAACGTCCATTATTTAAAAATATGTAGTTAGACGGTTCTCGCAGAACAATAAGCAAAGTATTACTATATATTATAAAGGAAAAAATCCCAAAACTTTTGAAAAATTATGAGGAGAAGTTATATTTTAAGATGGAATCGTCTTTTTATAAATGTTTCTCGGAAATGTTGATTTTTACCCGGCCCTCTAATCTAATCACTTCTCTAAGCTTTCATGAAACCAGATATCCAAATTCTTTTCGAATGCAGCATTTCATATTATAGACATATCGTATGTCATTAGGCAATACTCACAGCTATATGTTCCTGAAGCACTCCCGCACAGATATAGGCACCGGCCGAGCAAATTCCGCCCACTGCCACACTCTGCAGTGGCTGGAGCTCCCAATTGAAGGCGCGTTTCAGCAATGGAGTGGTTACGTATTGGCACAGAGGTATGAGTATGAAGAGGAAGACGGGGCCGACGGCCTTGAACTGATCCGGCTGTATGTTAACGCCCAGAAAGGTCGTGTTCATCATGGTCGCCTGGAAGGTCCAGCTGGAGTCCTGCTGGGCCAACAGTGCGAAGTAAAAGGGCAGTGGAATGAATAGCTTTGTGATCTGAAAGTGTATTCGATGTTAGATCGATAAAAACTTGAAATGCTATAAACGGTGCTTACTCGCAAAACTTTGGAGACATCGTTGACAAACTCTTCGTCATATGGGCCGATGGCGTTGTAGAGCCAATAACTGCACCTCTCCTCCGACTTGCGTCTGCGCCACTTCTCCAGCAGAGCTGTCTTGATGCAGCCGTAGAATTTGAAGAGCACACTGTCATCGTAGACATTCTCGGGCAAGTAGACGACCTTGCCAATGAGAAAGATGACTGAAGAAATGCGTTGTTTTTGGAATTTCATTCCTGCTTCTGTTACTTACCCCAGGCGACCAAAAAAGCAGCACCGAGGGTGCCGAATACGGCCGGATAGCATTCAGGTTTGTCGAAACACTGCGTATTAACGCGCACCAATGGCGGCAATATTTTGCTCAAAAATATTCCGAAATAGTAAACAAAGTAATAGAAGGAGAAGTATTGCGCCAAATGGACCGCCTGTTCCGGCATCTTAAACTGGAGAGCCCCAATGGAGGTGATGCAGGCGCGTATTGAACCGTTTCCCACGCCGATGAACAGCAAAGCGATGAAAACTAGCAAACTATTCCAATGTAAAGAGATATCAGTGGAATATGTAAAGCCGCTATTCTCCACTTACGCCAGGGGTACGCCGACATGTGGCATCGAAGAGATGGTTAGGAAAAAACACCCAAAAGCATAGAGATAACTAAATCCAGAAATAGTTTTCACATTCCCATAACAGCTATCTGCCAATATGGCGCCAAAGATCGAATAAAAATGTCCGAAGAAATTGAATATGTGCAGCATTATGGTGGAAAAGTTTTCCGTAAAGTTTAGACCATCGCATAGATACAAGGCGAGCACGGCTGGAGGAGGCAGAAGATGGCAGATGATGAAATCATTATTTTGTGGAATACATACTCCGACAAATGGATGGATTGCAAGGGGACGATGCAATAAGAAGACACATCTCTCAAAATTGCAGAAATTGACTTAGAATCATTAAAGCATTGATTTAATGAAGGAAGAACAAATAACAAATGAGAAGCGCGGAGAACAGCTTAAAAACAATATACTCGTATTTAAACAAAACAATATGTGGACTAAATTCAGGTTTTACTACTCGTAAATCGTTTGAGAAGCCAGTAAAAGGATTATGCAGGAGCTGAAAAATAAGTTTACATTGGAACTTAATGTGAAAGATGGGATTGTCTTTATTAAACGAAATAACACTGATCCGAGACTAATTCAAATACGCAGCATTTACCTTAAACCCATGTATCTAAAGAAAGTCTGAAGTATATTACACGATAACAGTTTCCGGTTGATTAGTATCTACAGAATTTATCTAAAATATTACCTATACTACAGCATTTGATTAAGATAAGATTCGTTTGAGGCTCAAATTCGATTCGTCATGACAGTGAATGCATTTTAATTGAGGAAATGTGTAATTGATATCAAATACCAGTAAATATTTGCACATCATTTATAATTTGTGAGTTCTATATATGTAGTCCCTGACCATCGTTACGTAATGTTACAGATTTGAGAGAAAGGGACAAACTCACTGCGTATGCCGTTGACCGTAAATGTCTCAAAAAACTTGGTGGCAAGTATGAAGTATACGGCACGAGGGTATCTGTATTCGATTAAATTGGGTGTGGGAACACAGCCATAGTTGGGGGGCCGGGAACCGCGCTGGTGACGACTCCTAAGCTGGGAACGCTCAGTGACAGTCCTCATCTCCATGTCCCTCTCATAGTCGGCCTGCGTGAGCTCCGTAAGTGTAGGCAGAGCTGGGAATACGGAAACCAAGCGTTCTTGTTATTAACAGAGCCACCTTTCTAGATAGAGATTTGTTCTCCACCCCCCACTCACTTTCTTCGCTGCCGATTGATGTGGCGCCAAACATCGCCTAATCGTAGGTCCGTATTAGTGGGAGTGGCCTTGACGATCGCACCTGGCTTCTTGAATTACCAGCTCCAATGTGTGGCTGCGGTTTGTGGGTCGGTCTGCGGTTTCAGCGACTTTTTGGCGATCCAAAGACGTCTGTTGCACAGCACGGCAGAAAACGACTGACCGGCGAGTTGCAGTCGAACGAGATAGCGACGTAGCTCCCCAGAACTCTCTTCTTTCTTAACAAGCAGTCCATTGTTGGATTATCGAAAAGTTCTCTCAACTTACCTATTCCTTTGACGATAATGAAACATACTCAGTGTATGTCCATATAGGCATTGGCAATATCTTAATTGTGCATTTCCATTTCTTAGTGCATACAGCTATGGTCAGACTCGTAAATTGTTTACACACAAACTCTGCAAATTTAACAAGTACGCCATGATATTTACAGTTATTTGTATATTATGTGCACCTGGCTTCACTTTCCATGGCCAGCTTGAAAAACATGTCGGTTTTTTGTGCAAAATATTTGTCTGTCTGACCGCAGCACGGGAAATTTAAACGTTTACTTCATATACATATAGTATATAGTTTATTTTTAGAATTTCAAAAACCCCAAACTACCTCAGCTTTTTGTGTTTATTATTAAGAATTTGTTCTTCAAATATAAACTTTTTGGCTCTCTTAAAAAATTTGTCAAAAGGATAAAACAAAAAAACAAAACAACACTACGTTACACAAATTTCACCAAGAACATATATTTATTTATTTGAAATATTATTCGAAATAGCCAAGACAGTATCAATGGGAACTAAGTATTAGAGGAACTTTGTCAATATGGAACTTATCAACGGTATTTTATTTATTCCTTATTACAAAAACTGCGACTGATTCACATTTTCAAGCAGATAATAATTTAAACACACATTACAACACATCGGACTAATGCCAATGATAATCCCGAACAATTATTGTATTATTGGGTTAAAAAAGTGGTTCTTAAGAAAATTAGATAAACTTTTAAAATCAAATTGAGTAATTTTTGAAACGAAGTGCATTTAGCAATTTCTTAATCGCAGAAGTTGATCGAAACAACTTGGCTGTAGAAATATACACCTTGATGGTTAAAGTAAAATGGGTTTAGTGGTCTTGTTGGGCATTAGTGTTGGTTTTTATGAAAATAGAGCACTCGGTGTCGATCGTAGTGTTAACTCTCATTACGCCGACTTTGTTTGGCATTCGCGAGAATTCCATTGTGTAATACTTAATCCTTTTTATCGGAAATTGCCAAAGACAAACAAAGGTACTAAATGGCACCGACTTGCCCGGCAATATACAAGTATGTTCAAGATAGTCAGTCGATTGAATCAGTTTGCGTTAGATTAGCAGTTTCACACTTCAAAGTTTTCTTTATTAGCTTCCAGTTAACGTGCAGTGCGTGTGTAAATGTAAATAAATAAAAAGTAATTAGGCGATATACGAGTACAAGTTACGACTGTTATGTAGAAACTAAACACTAGCGCTTCGGCTACTGCCGCTGGGCAAATCGTCGGTGTCCAAATCACGCTGAAAATTCAGCAGTGGACGCCGGTCCTGTTCCTTGGGAGTCTGCAGCCCGCAGCCTCTGGCATAGAAGCTGCCCGTCTTCTCATGCAGCGCGTACTCGAAGGCCAGCATTCCGAATATAATGATGCAGACCATCATGACAACCGCATAAAAGAAATACCCGGCTGTCTGGGAGTTGAGGAACTGCAGCTCAGTGACTATCACAACAATCAGGTTGCCAAAAGCATTATTGAGGAACCAAGCAGCCGTTACCACCGATTTCATCGAGCTCGGCGCCTGCGTAAAGGCGAACTGCAAGCCTGGAATGGAGAGCAGCAGCTCGGCTAGCATCAGCAGCAGGAATTGGGGCAGTTGCCAGGCAATGTTCACTGTTTGACTGGGAGAGTTCTGAAAAGAGAATTCATGCAATCAAATTCATTCCTTACACACAAATTATTATTATGTCTAACCAATCCATTATTTAAAAGGAGGAAATAGTTAAGACTTCTCTCAGCAGGACTAGCAAAATATGCAAAAAATTTAACTACGATCCCTTCTTTCCAAATTCTTTCGAATTATAGACATATGTCATTAGGCAATACTCACAGCTATATGTTCCTGAAGCACTCCCGCACAGATATAGGCACCGATCGAGCAAATTCCGCCCACTGCCACACTCTGCAGTGGCTGGAGCTCCCAATTGAAGGCGCGTTTCAGCAATGGAGTGGTTACGTATTGGCACAGAGGTATGAGTATGAAGAGGAAGATGGGGCCGACGGCCTTGAACTGATCCGGCTGTATGTTAACGCCCAGAAAGGTCGTGTTCATCATGGTCGCCTGGAAGGTCCAGCTGGAGTCCTGCTGGGCCAACAGTGCGAAGTAAAAGGGCAGTGGAATGAATAGCTTTGTGATCTGAAAGTGTATTCGATGTTGGACCGATAATCACTGAAGATTTTTAAACCACGCTTACTCGCAAAACTTTGGAGACATCGTTGACAAACTCCTCGTCATATGGACCGATGGCGTTGTGGAGCCAATAACTGCACCTCTTCTCCGACTTGCGTCTGCGCCACTTCTCCAGCAGAGCCGTCCTGATGCAGCCGTAGAATTTGAAGAGCACATTGTCATCGGAGACCTTCTCGGGCTTGTAGAAGAACTTGCCAATGAGAAAGATGACTGAAGAATGCGTTAAGTATTTGGAATTTCCCTTCTGCTTCTGTTACTTACCCCAGGCGACCAAAAAAGCAGCACCGAGGGTGCCGAATACGGCCGGATAGCATTCAGGTTTGTCGAAACACTGCGTATTAACGCGCACCAATGGCGGCAATATTTTGCTCAAAAATATTCCGAAATAGTAAACAAAGTAATAGAAGGAGAAGTACTCCGCCAAATGGACCGCCTGTTCCGGCATCTTAAACTGGAGAGCCCCAATGGAGGTGATGCAGGCGCGTATCGAACCGTTTCCCACGGCGATGAACAGCAAGGCAATAGAAACCAGTAATCTATTATTCCAATAAAAGAGAGATCAGTGAAAAATGGTGCGAACTGCCTATTCTCCACTTACGCCATGGGTACGCCGACAGATGGCATCGAAGTGAGGGTTAGGAAAACCCAGCCAAAGGCATAGAGAAAACAAAATCCAGAAATAGTTCGCACATTCCCATAACAACTGTCCGCCAATATGGCGCCAAAGATCGGACAAAACTGCCCGAAAAAATTGAATATGTGCAGCATTATGGTGGAAAAGCTTTCCGTAAAGTTGAGATCATCGCGTAGATACAAGGCGAGCACGGCTGGGGGAGGCAGAAGATGAAATCATTATTTTTTGGAACACTCCGTCAAATGGCCTTGATAATGCGACTGATTGCGAAGTGACGGTCCAATAATTAAATATGTAAATTATTATCAGTAGACACATCCCCGAAAAATTCCATTTTTATTATCGGAAATGTTTTTCATGCGTAAATATTTTGGTCATTCCTCCAGCGAACTAAGCACCCTCCACATTGTTACTTAAACAAAGAACTGGCTAGCTAGAACTATATAACCTCGTTTTATCTAAGATTTCTGATAATGAGAGGCTTTTCTAAACATGAAAATGTTTACCGAAATACTAGATCTCTGTAGTTTTTGACGAGTCACAAAATTTTATTGGTATATAGTACTTCTGGTTATAAAAAGGGCGGAATTAATATTCTTTTGAGCAAATAATATTTGAAGTACCGGCAACCGAAACATTTTACTTTTGTTAATACTTTAGGTTCTCATATGAAAATTGTGCGGAAATACATACATATTTCTAATTTAAAAATTGTTTACAATGCTCTGATTAAATAGGGAACTTCGGTTAAATGTTTCCCAATTAAACAAATTCAAAAAACTACATCGATTGACTACTTTGTTTATGAAACGACGCAGCAGGAATATAATTTTTATCAAAAACTTACTAAGAATTATTGGATCATAAACTGATTTAATGGAACAAGCCTGAAGTGTGGTTTGTTTTTTTATTGAATGCCAAAAATTAGCTTTTATAAATTAGATATTGGAAATTAAAACCATAACTCAGTTGTATTTTAAACCATTATAGTAATATTGATTAGCAACTGGTATTAAGCAGCGTGGAGTGGAGAAGAGTTCTCTTCTTAAAACCATCGGTTAAAATGTGTTATTGGCCCTACAAATAACGAAAGTGCCTCAACTGAGATGCGCGGAGGAGAGCTAAAAAAACGTTATTCTCGTATTTGAACAAGCAATATTTGAACTTAACTTCTTAAATAGGTCATGAGCTAAAAACTGCAGCTTACATTATTAAATCAGCTTTGGAAATTAATGTGGAAGAAGGGGTAGTGTTTGTAAATAAAATAGCCCTGATCTGAGAATACTTCAGATACACACACCCCTATATCAAAAGAAAGTCCGAAGCATATCATAGAGTAACGGTTCCTGGTTGATTAGTATCTACAGAGTTTATCCAAAATATTACTCATAGCATTTCGCATTTGCACAAAAGAGCTGCCTTTGAAGCTAAGCTTCGTTTGAGATTCAAATTCGATTCGTCATGACAATGAATGCATTTTTATTGTAAACGATCCGAATAATGATCACTCATTGATATCAAATGCATATATTTGCACATAATTGAAGTTGTGGGTTATACAAGTATTTGTAGTCCCTGACCACCGATTTGAAAGAAAGGTAGAAACTCACTGCGTATGCCGTTGGCTGCAAATGCCTCAAAAAATTTGGTGGCGAGTATGAAGTACACGGCCCGAGGGTATCTGTAGTGGATTATAATGGGTATGGGTGTACCGCCATAGTTGGAGGGCAGGGAACCGCGCTGATGGCGACTCCTCAGCTGGGAACGCTCAGTGCCAGCCCCCATCTCGATGTCCCTCTCATAGTTGGCTTGTGTGAGCTCCGCAAGGGTAGGCAGAGCTGGGAATACGGAAACAAAGCGTTCTTGTTATTTATAAAGCCCCTCAGCATTGTTGTAGAGATGAGTAGAAGGTGGGTGCTTATCTTATCGCCTTCCACCTTTCCAGAGATTTGTTCTCACTTTCTTCGCTGCCGATTGATGTGGCGCGAAACATCGCCTAATCGTAGGGCTGTATTAGTGGGACTGGCCTTGATGATCGCAACTGGCTTCTTGAATTACCAGCTCCAATGTGTGGCTGCGGTTTGTGGGTCGGTCTGCGGTTTCAGCGATTTTTTGGCAGTTATTTGGCCCCGCGATCCAACCACGTCTGTTGCGCAGCACGGCAGAAAAACGACTAACCGGCGAGATGCAGTCGAACGAGATAGCGACGTAGCTTGATGCACTACTTAACCCTCCGAATGGCTTCTGGGTTTACTCAGCCCTCTCTATTTTCCTAACAAACGGCGCATTGTTGGATTAGCGAAGATCGCAACTAACGTGTTTCTTTGATGACAATGCAGCATAAATACTTACTATATTTTCATTTTAGGCAAACGATTAAACAGCATTAGCCAAGGCAGTGTTAATGGGAGCATTTAGAGAAACTTTGTCAATATTGAAGATTTGTGGGTCTTTCATTTATTTCATATTACAAAAACTGCGACTGATTTACATTTTCAAGCAGATAATAATTAAAACACTATTTATTTATTATTAAAAAAAAAAAACGATTAATTGAGCAATTCTTTAAAAATTAGGGCATTAAGCAGCATTCTTTTTCTCAAAAGCTGATTGAATTCGCTAACGGAAACAGTCTGCTTAAACACATAGTTTAATTTAAAAGACAATGTACAATAATATTCATTCCTATAAGTGTTTCAACCAAATCGTAATTTTTAAAAGATTCTACACGGCTGGTTGTAGAAATATACACCTTAATGGTTAAGGTACAATGAGTTTGGGGGTTGGGCAATAGTGTTGGTTTTTATGAAAATAGAGCGCTCGGGGTCGAACGCAGGGTTAACGCTCATTACGCCGACTTTGTTTGGCATGCGCGAGACGTTGGGCGCCTAAACAAACATTGCGATAAAAGCAACAGAGTAGTGGATTATGAGAACTGCAGCCTAGACAGGTTATCTCTGTCTCTGGAGCTTGGCCACCCCCTTGCTCTTATCAGAGTATTTTGAGCCGAGCTGCATCATCATCACAAGGAAACTCAGTCACGGGACTCAACTGCTCAGCTGACTACTGCCGGACTAGCTGATAAGGGGCCAGTGGGTGATAAGGATGCTGCAACAGCACTTAACTGCATCCATCAAGTATGCATAACCCGGCAACAGCAGCTGCTGTTGTTGTTTTGTTTGTTAACTGGAAGGTGGATTCGACGTGTTCAATGAAATTTTTGTTTGTTTTTATTAAATTATGAAGTTATTACGAAAAAGATAATTATCGCGACACAGAATAACTATTAACAACTAATGGTAACCGCAGAAGTTGGTGAGGGAAGCTGAAGTGAGGACAACGGAGAAGTGGAGTATGTCGATGATAGATGAAGTTCGTCGGCAAATTGTGGCGAGCAATTTAGTTAAGTTACGCTTTATAGCAACCGGAAGGCAGAGGAAACAACACTTTCGTTTACAATACATCGAATGAGGCAAAACATAATCGGAGGAGATTTGAACTTGAACTGCCGCCATCTTTTGCTTGGATATTACACCAGTTTCTTGGCCTCGAAGAAGCTCTTCAGATGTCGCATTTGCCAGAAGCCCATGCACAGCAGGACAACAGTCTGGGCCAGTGACCACCACAGGACGCGAGAGTTGGTGCTCTCGCTGGTGTGACGGAAACGCTCCTCGCGATAACGCTGATAGTTCTGCTCCTTGGTTATCTGCTCCACCTGATCCAACAGCTGGCGTATGCGCAACTGCAGCTCCGTCAGCTTCTCTTTTTGCGCCACGTTCGCGTAGTCGATGGCATGCTCGCCCACCTGGATGTCCAGATGGACGCGCAGCTGGGCACCGCTGAACCAGGCGGTGCTGTTGGAGAACATGCAGATCACATGTTCTCCTGGCGTGTGCGATGTGAACGAGATGCGTCCCTGCGAGCTGTAGACTCGCGACAGAATCACCTTATCATCGCTATCGCGCACCTCCACATGCATGCCGATGCCCGGTGAGCTGGGCATGAAGCCATTCGAGCGCGGATCATACAGCTCCACTTTGTAGTTGACTGAAATGGGATCGGGTCATGGATTTAGAGTGGGTTGGTGCCGGCCGTAACGGTAAATGCGAGTCACTCACCAATCACTGTCGTCTCATCTGGCACCTCCTCGATGAAGCACTTGCGCTCCGTTTCTGAGATGTGAAAGTACAAGCCGCAGGCACTATGTAGCGTGCACAGCAGCAGGGACAGCCAGATCAATTGTTTATGCATTTTACTATGACGACCTCCACACGTTCTTTAGAATTATTTTGATTTGTTTAACTCCGCTCGCCGACACGTCATGAGAAAAAGGCAAAGTGCCAGATCGAAATGTTTGGCTATTTGACAGAAAGTGCTGCCAACTTGTTGCAATCACAGCAACCTAGAGGTGTGACGTCGTCGAATTTTAGTTCTCGTGAAAATCTGTGCTTTAAAGAACTGTGAATAAATTGAATGCAATTCTTATTAATAAAAGACGCGTTTGCAGTGTTACAGTGTTAATAATGTGATAATGTGTATAATTTGTTGAAATTTAATTGCCTCCATGTTTTATTACTTGCTTTGTACTGCTTGGCAACGCGACAATTTCATCAAAATTTGGGACTGGCAACGTCATCATATCAGCCAGCTGTTTAGTTGTTGACGTTTTACTTTTTGCTGTGTTGCTCAAATTATTTTCCGAAAAACCACAAAACCATGGATATAATATTGCTCATAGGCGTTGCCGCGGCTTTCCTGGTCGTGCTGCTAACGCTCCTCTTCTTACAGAGTAGAAACGCCAAGAAGGGTGAGTTGTGCATACTGAAAGGAATCATTTTAAATAGCAAATCTGTTCAAACAGACACAAAAGCCGAGCCACAACAACAACGTGGCGTTCCACAACGTGCTCAGGAAGGTGTACCAAGGCGCGCACAAATCGCCAGAAATCAACGCAATCGGCTGAACAGACAGAATGTGGCAGCAGCAGCGCCCGCAGCCGCACCAGCTGCCGATTCTGATAACGATGAAGAAGGCGCCGATGGAGCTCGCGTGCCGCAAGGTGCTGTGCTAGATGAGAAAATGGGCGCCAAGAAACGTGCCAAAATGGAGGCCAAGGAGCAGAAGCGACTGCAACGCGAGCAAGAACTGCACGAGCGTGAGCAGCGCAAAGTGAAGGAGGCAAAAGAGGAGGCCGAGCGCAAGGAACAGGATCAACTGGTGGAGGAGCAGGAGCGGAAAAGGGCGGAAGCTGAGCGTTTGGCCAAGGAGGAGCGCGAGCGCAAAGAACACGAGGAGTACCTGAAAATGAAGGCAGCGTTCAGTGTGGAAGAAGAGGGCTTCGAGGAGGGCGATGTCGAAGAGCAAGAAAACCTACTCGCTAATTTCATACAATATATTAAAGATAACAAGGTCGTGGTGCTGGAAGATTTGGCCATTGAATTCAAACTGAAAACCCAACAAGCGATTGAACGGATACAGGAGCTGCAAGCAAATGAAACGCTCACGGGCGTCATTGACGACCGTGGCAAGTTCATCTACGTGTCCGAAGAGGAACTGGCGGCTGTGGCCAAGTTCATTAAGCAACGCGGCCGTGTCTCTATTACCGAGCTGGCGGAGAGCAGTAATAAGCTAATTAATTTAGCGCCTGTGGGCAGTTCCTGATTTGAGATTTGTTTTAATAGCTTTTTGTTAATAGCGGCTTGTTAATAGAATTAACAATATTATCTGACAAACTACAATTTAATCCATGCCTTCGTCATCTTCATAATCGTCCATTTCGCCATCGGACTCCTCTTCGCTGGTCACATCTGGCTCCGATATTTGAGCGCGGCACTTGGGACACTCGCAGACAAAAATATAATTCTCGCGCAGAATTTTGTGTCTGGAATGGCGACTGCGTTCCAATAGGCATTCATCCAGATAGGAAATACAGATTTCCTCGCCCGCCTGGATGGGTGTGATGGCCTTCAGCACAACAATATCATTTGAGTACGGAAATGTGGACTGTGCATTGGGCACGCAGCTGTGATTAATTTTGCTCTGTAGTATGTAGAGGCCGGAGCCCTCGTTGTTTAGGAATTCGCCAGCAACTGCCGAGAAAGGAGATTTTTCTATAACGATCAATGGAAAGACTTAATATTTGGTTAATTATAAGCTCACATTCTCCCACTTTGGCATACAGTTCGTCGATTGTATTGTCCAGTTGCGCTTTATCTGCGTCCGGAAGCGGCAATTCCGATACTTTGCTCACCCACTGCGACAAAACGCTCGTCGCTATCCCCTGACTATTGGTGCCCATGATGCCCATAAGCGTTTTAAATGCATCCGGTGTGGTGAACTGGCCGGCAATAGAGATACATATCATGACTATACCATTACATTATGAAGTAAGCTCACCACTGAAAATTCCTCGCCTTTAAATGCATTGCAGAAGGCACCATAGAGCTGTTCCATTTGTTGCTCGAAATTCTCCCCAAGCATCTTGTGATAAATTTTCTGCTCGCGATTCACAATCAGCGCTTGAAATGATTGCAGCTGCTCCAGGAACTCTTGCTTCTTGCTCGTCTGTTGATACATGGCCAGCAGCCGGACCAGAAGCATTATAGTGCCCGTCTCCGGCGGATAGTGCATCTTTTTCCATGTTTCGTTCAGAATATTTATGGGATGTGTGTCGTCTGCGCGAAAGGCACCCAAGCATGCCACACGATGATAGCGCTTCTGTGCCTCCATCAGACAATCCTCGGAGCAGTACCGCACCTTGCAGCGCGCACATTGCGTGAATTGCTGGAACCAAGCGGCCGTGGGATCGTGTTGAAGCAATGGCATTGAAACAGTCTGATTGTTGGCCAGTCGACGGACATTGGCCAGCACCGTCTCCAGCGGACGCATACAATGATCACAAGCGGCATAGCCATAGGCAGCATTCCATGAAAACTGATGGGACACAAAAGGCTCTTCCTCGAATATAATCTCGCCGGCTATGAAATCCTTGGTGGCCACCATGGCCCGTCCCTGCGGAAACAACAACTCTTTAATAAATTGTGGTAAGTGTAACTAAGTTTGCTTACCTTCCCCGCTATTTCCCGGATTTCAAAATGATTCATTGTACTGAAACAACCAATTTAAAAACAAAACTGCAGTACATGCAAAGAATCGCGGACATGTGCGTCCCAGCTTTTTGCCATTCACAGTGCATCGCTCACAGCTGTTAAGTTCACAATGTTAATTGTTGAAAAAACAGCTGTTTAGCTGTAGACTAACAGCGCACGCCCACTCCAGCGCATGTGACTTATTAAGAGCTTATTTTAGCGCCATGCCCAAGAGAAAGCCGAGCCCCTGCGCAATGGCATTCAAGTTATATTATATATAAAGCATGTTGAGTGCCAATGAATACATTAATGGCTCTTGTTTGTGCGATAATAATCTCATATTGCTCGATTAACGGGCACCGCAAACAAAACTGAGTCTCAGTTTTATTTCGCCGCTGAAACGAGTCGGTCTTCAAAATGGCTGCTAAAAGTACCATTTCTTTTTTTTTTTTTTTTGTCGATAAAAAAATGTCGCAAGTCATGACCATTTAACAATTTGTATTTTAGATTGCTGCCATGGTCCCGGCTACGCCACACCCTTGGACGCCATGAAAAATGGGCCTAGAGAGACATTACTTTATGTGGTGACCGTTCAACCCAATCTGGAGGAGCCGCATGGCGACTACCTTTCCACAGTGGACGTGAATCCCGAGAGTCCCTCGTACAGTCAGGTGAGCAGGCAAAGCATACTTACATATTTATATATGTATGTACATATGCATTACATATTTAATTCTAACTCTTTTTTTGTAGGTTATACATCGCACGTACACGAATCGCACGCGTCAGGAACTTCATCATTCTGGCTGGAATGCGTGCTCCAGTTGCTATCGAGTGGACAAGCAGGCCAAGCGGATACCCAAACGTGACAAATTGGTATTGCCCGCCCTCAATGCCGATGCGATTTACGTGCTGGATGTGGCCACCGATCCACGCAAGCCTGAGATCCTCAAACGCATCGATGGCGCTGTCCTGAAGCAGCACAATGTAACGGCTCCCCATACGACGCATTGCTTGGCTAACGGACAGGTTATGATATCCGTTATGGGCGACGCGGAGGGCAATGCCAAAGGGGATTTCATATTATTCGATTCGGAGAGTTTTGAATGCCTCGGAACGTGGACACAGGGGAAAAAGTTGGCAGCTTTCGGCTATGATTTCTGGTACCAACCGTACTTTGACATTATGGTGTCCTCCGAATGGGGTGCACCTGCTAAGTTCCGGCAGGGTTGGAGTTCCAAGGATATGAGCTACTATGGCACCCATTTGAATTTCTACAAGTGGTCGACGCGCACCCTTCAGCAGACCATCGATTTGGGGGACGAGGGCATCACACCGCTGGAGGTACGATTCATGCACGATCCAAAGCGAGCCGAGGGCTTCGTGGGCTGTGCTCTGTGGGCCAAAGTCTTCTACTTTAGAAAGCGCGAAGAGTCCGACGAATATGTGAGCTCAAAGGTTATCGACATACCCTCAAAACTGGTCGATTTCGGGGATGGCAAGCCAGAGCCAATGGGGGGTTTGATCTCTGACATTGTTCTCTCGCTGGATGATAAGTATCTGTTTGTTAATTGCTGGTTCCACGGCGATGTGCGTCAATATGACGTAAGTGTGCCCTCGGCCCCAAAATTGGTCGGTCAGGTGTTTCTGGGCGGCAGTATTTGCAGCGATGTGCAGCGTTTGAAGGTGCTGGAGGACAAGGAGCTGCTGGAGAGGCCGCCACCGTGCTATCTGAAGGGACGTCGTATTCAGGGTGGGCCACAAATGATGCAATTGTCCCTGGATAGCAAACGCTTGTATGTCTCTTCATCGCTCTTCTCGCCCTGGGATAAGCAGGTGAGCTTCCTTCTATGACTCTAAGAATGCTGTTGCTTATCTAGTACTTCTCAGTTCTACCCAGACATGGTTAAGCAAGGCGGCCAAATATGCCTCATTAATGTAAATATCGAAGGTGGATTGCAACTAAATGAGAACTTCCTAGTGGACTTTGGTCAAGAGCCCAACGGCCCTGCATTGCCGCATGAGATGCGCTATCCTGGCGGTGATTGCACCTCCGATATTTGGCTGGCTGATCAGTGAATATGCAAAGGTGGGCTAACAATACCCCCTCCTTATTATTATTATTTTTTTAATTTCCAACGAGCTCAATTTGAGTGAGATCTGAGTGATTCCGATTTTGCAAAAATAGGCGAACATAAATCACCAGCAGGTAAATAAATTGACAGCTGGTCGTATTTTAAATATTATTTCCACGGCCTGTAGATGCTTTGTGCATTCGCAATTCCTTCCTCCAATAGAAAAGCCACATTATCAATAAATTAGCGCACTGATCTAACCTTCATAAAATTAATATTGTTAGCCGACTGCTGACAAATAACAACAAGAAATATCGGCTGTTAGAAGAAAACATTTGTGACGTCACAAAATGTTCAGCAACAGCATGATAACAAACAGGTGATTAAACAGCTGTTGCTGTTTGCAGTGTTGCCAGCACTAAAATTTCGTAAATCAAATCCTAACGGTGCACTGCAAAACGTAAACAGAGAAGCGCTCTCTTCTATTTTCTCTCTCTCTCTGTTATTATTAACAGCTGATCTGCCTGCTGCTGATTTATGTTCGCCTGGTATTAAGAAACTTTGCACAGCTCTAGCTAGTGCAGTGTTTTCTCACATACCTAATAATTTTTTCGTGGTGGGAGAAGGGAGTGTGTTGTCTGGCTGCCGTGATGCCGGCTTTATCGATTTCTGTAGAGGTGGCGGATATGTTTGTAGAGTAGAAATTAAAAGTCGGGGTTTTCTCAGTTGTACTCTATATATTATAATCAATTATAATAATCAATTACATAATTTAAAGACATGTGCTAATGCAATTTGTTGTTTTTTATATAATATAAACATATTGTTAACAGTTTTGTTGTTGTTTTTTAGTTGCTCTGTAAAATACATAATATTTCAGAATTTGTAATAATATTTTACGCTTACACACTAACAATATTCAAATATAATTATATATCTCTTGCGTTCCTCCTCTATCCTTTGCTTTCCTCCTCACTTCTTTTTGTTTATTACATAATAATTATTGTTGTTTGCTTTGTTTTATTTTGTTTTATCATGTGTTTGTTGTGTTTTCTTTGTTTTTGCTAATTAATTAAGTTTAAAAAGTATTTGTTGTTGTTATTTTGCTTTTGTTTTACCTTTGCTTTGTTTGTTTATTTGTGTTTCCTATTATAATTAAATATAAATTAAAACTTTATTCACTAACCAGCCCCATTTCGCGAGCCGTGGGCGTAGCCAGTGTCTGGCCAAGAGCCGAAGCTGCCGAAACGGCGCTGCTCAGCCCATCCTCAGCCTCGTCCTCATCAGCGTTCGCTCGCTTCGCTGCTGCCATGGCGGCTGCTGCCGATGCTGCTGCCTTTTTACGCTCAACTTCCGCATTAGCATCTGCATCCGCATCCGCATCGGCATCATCGTCATTATCATTTTCGTGGTCATCACAATTGCTGCGCGCGACTTCGTCAGCGGCGGCTTCATCTTCGTGGGCCTCATCGGCAAAGGACACTTCGGCTGGACTGTTGTCGCCTTCATGCTGATTATTGTTGTTGGCTTTGTCTTCACTGGCGGACTTGCTATTATCACTATCACCATTATCTTCGTTCTCCTTCGCGGCAGGCGTCGCTCCAGCCTCCTCCTCGGGTATGTCCTCGATGAGGCTGCGATTGCCCGAACCAGCCGAAGGACTCCTTGGCATTTCCGCCGTTGTTGCTGCTGCCGCCGCTGCCTCAGCATCGGCCACCTTACGCAACAGCACAGGATCGGAAGCACGCAGGGAGCTTTCAGAGCCGCCGACACCCTCGCCACTGGGTCGCAGCACCAAATAGAGCAGAATGTCGGAGAGCGAAATAATGCCGATCACCTTGCGGTTCTCATCGACCACCACCAGGCGATGCACCTCCGCCCGCACTATCCGCTCCATGATCGTGTAGAGGGACTCGTCCAGATTGCACTTTTGCACGCCCTCGAACCATTCGTTGCGATGCTCATTCGCTTTGCGTAGAGAGACATCGAGATCGTTGTAGGTTTTCTCAGCGGCGAGATTCTGTTTGGAGAAATGTTTATATTTATGGATGACTCTACGATATCAAATAGAACTCTGTAGACTACTCACAATCACATCAAACTTTGCATAAATATCAACGAGTCGGCCCTCGCCATCCACCAGAGGTAGCGCCGAAACGCGTCGTTCCACAAATTTCTTGAGCGCCGTTATAATGCTCGTGCTCTCATCTGCGGTCTCGATGTTGTCATACGTGCCGATCTTCAGATCGCGCAAACTCTTCTGCATATAAGCGGGCTTTGGTAATTCATTAATCTGAAACGGTAAGTAAATAGAATCCAGATTATACAAACATACTACCCCTATATATATCAAATATTTTGATTAACTATTAAGGGGAGAGAACATTTGAATTGCTCACGATATTCTTGGGAATGTTGGGAGTGAAGAACTTAAGAATATTTCAAGTTTGTTTTGAGATTCAGACCTCGACACGTGCCGAAATTCAATTCTAGATTCGATTCTAGAAGAATAATTGGATTAAACAATTGATGAGGGGGAGAAAGCTACTCCAGAGCTTTTGTATTGCTCATAATATTGTTGGGCTTGGTATGGATTCGGAGAAGAGAGAAGATACCAAGAATATTTTGTTTTATTCAATTCTAGACGAATAATTGTATTAACTTAATAGATGAAGGGGAGAGAGAGCAACTAAAGAACATTTGTATTGCTCATAATATTGTTGGGATTCGGGAGAGAAGAACCGAAGAATATTTAAGGGGTTTATTCAATTCTAGAAGAATAATTGTATTAACTAATAGATGAGGGAAGAGAGAGCAAGTAAAGAACATTTTTATTGCTCATAATATTGTTGGGATTCGGGAGAGAATTGCTCATAATATTGTTGGGATTCGGGAGAGAAGAACCGAAGAATATTTAAGGGGTTTATTCAATTCTAGATTCGATTCTAGAAGAATAATTGGATTAACCAATTGATGAAGGGGAGAGAGAGCAACTAAAGAACATTTGTATTGCTCATAATATTGTTGGGATTCGGGAGAGAATTGCTCATAATATTGTTGGGATTCGGGAGAGAAGAACCGAAGAATATTTAAGGGGTTTATTCAATTCTAGATTCGATTCTAGAAGAATAATTGGATTAACCAATTGATGAGGGGGAGAGAAAAGGAGAGCAACTCAGTGCGATTTCGATTCAGATGCGAACTCTTGTCTTAATTCAACCCCAGATTGTGTTTAAAATATTTTCAAATCGGTTAGGCACTTACATATAAAAACAGGAACCTCAGTATGCGTTTATGTGTCAATATGTACAGGACATTGCCGGTGGCGGGATCGATCACGGGCAATCGATGTATGCGACTATGTATGAGAATTTTAATGGCATCGTAGAGTGAAGCATCCGGTCCGATGCTGACCAAAGGCATCACCTGATTGTGCAGCACACCTGAAATAAACCCAATAATTTTGATAGAATTTTTGTTGTTGGATTCCACCAGGGCGGGTGTTAGAACTTACTGCGCCACGTGTCCAGTTTGTGCTCCTCCAACTGTTCCATGGATGCATTTGGGGATTTATAATACATTTGGAGTATCTTTATGAAGTCCGTTATGGTCAGCATTCCCACAAATTGTTGCTTCTCCGAGTCCCAGAGGGGGGCGGCGCGCACTCCGTTGTAGACCAGCGCATAGAAGGCCTTCTTCACCAGCAGCTGGGTGTCGAAGACGACCAATTTGGCGGAGGTGGGTATCAGATCATAGCACTGGTGAAAGCGAAAGAACTTGACAAAGATCTGGGAGTCGTCCTCCTCTGCAAATATACAAAATGAAAACAGAAACGCGATATTAGTTAGGAATGTTGTTAAATTATTGGAGTTCGAGTTGAAGAGAGTTACCCCCTAATGAGCCCTTCTTTAAGAGCTCGGCCAGCAGTCGCTTCCAGCCCTCAGAGACGTGTTCAAACTCTTTGATACTCTCCAGGGGATAGCAGAGGACGTCGGTAGCGCGGGTTCCGCCACCGACCACCAAACGACCCGCATGATTCGAATAGAAGTGCAGCTGTAACATGCGTTTAAACGTTTTGCAACACTGCTTGCCACTTCACCCACGGTTGGGAGCGATTCTAAGCGATTCTCGCAGACGCACACGAGGCGCGTTTCTCCAGTTCCTCTTCGAGTGCTGCTCGCATTACCAACAACCGATCCCTTTCAGCAATATTTATTGGGCTTATCTCATCGGCTGTCTAATCAAGATTCAGCGGTGTTAGTTTTGTGTAAACAAGTGCAGTACAGTCTAAACAAAACAGTCAAGACGCCCCTCTATGCGCTTCTCACTGCAAGCCCAAGCACGCACGATGCAAAGCCAACAACAAATGAACTGGTATTTCAAAAAGAAAAATGACTGAACAAATATTTGTGCGTTCATATTTATTTTATTGCCAGTTCATTTGTTTCTAATTTATTTGAACAACAATAGCAACAACAACAAATAATTGTTCTTGTTGTTGTTGTTGTCTTCAAATTGCTCTCTCAATTTGTCTGCTTCCTCTTCCACCGTGGACGCTTTTCTCGCAACTGTTATATTTTAGCGCGCGCTTCGCCGACGGCATTTCAATAAATTTTATTAAAAGACACTTTTAATTAAAATAAATTTAGCGTACAAAAGCAAACAATAACAACAACAACAACAGCAACTACTATAGCAGCAGCAACACTTACAAAATAGTAGATTACACACGAAATTTCAACAATGAATATAATTTAGTGCCAACCCAAGTGTCCGACTGGGTTGGGTCCGGTTGGGTGAGAAGCGCAGAGAGCGGCACAACGCCGCATAAACAAATAAGTATTGAGGTGGGCCAAAGGTGTTAATCAAACGTCGCAAACACTGTATGACATATAGACAGATATAGCCTCTCCTTGTTGTTGTTGTTGTTCCTGTCAGCTGTTGTCAGCGTCTGATGAATGTGCAGAGGGAATATGCGATATAGAACGAACCCTAAAGCGCACTAGAGGGTCCCCTATATTCTTTCGAACTATTTAAGAGCACCTTTTCGAGTCCAATGATATTTGTAATATAATTTTTTCTGATACAGAAAGCCATTTCATATTTATTTTTAAAGAAGAATATGATATAAGAAATTTATGAAAACCTGAAATATATAGAGATACTTATACTTCTCTACAAATAATGCTATATATCAGAAATACCAAATCTATATCCTAGATTCAATATTCATACTATACTATATACTAGCAATTTGTTAATTAATCGTTGTATATAATTCGAAGCTAGGTTCCTAACTTGACTTTTTCGATGATTTCTTGGAGAGCAGTTTGATTTGGTCAACTATATTGATACCCATTTTGGAAAGCGATTTCCACAATTTACAAACGCTGTTTGGATATATCGGATATATATATTGAAATGGAAATTTCCAAAATAGGACCTCCAACAAGCATTTAACTTGATGATAAATAGCTACAAAGAATTTGTTAAAACCATTGGTATATATCTATCCACTTATACTTCTTATACTAAATCAATTATAGAATATATAGAAAGTTGAAATAAACCGGTTGCTCAAATCCTTCTGAGGAAAGTCTGTACAAAATTTGGCATCTCTCATATATATAATATTCTCATATTCTATAATACGCTTCAGAATTGGGATGATAGACGAAAAATAAAACATTTCTCAAACTCTGACATACCAAAATCCTATCGAAAAAGAAAAACCATTTTTTTTGTAAAAATTGGAGATTTTAGAGATATCGAAAAGGAGGTATTCAGACTTGCAGACAACATTGTTGGGTCCCAAATATTATCATTAGGCGCATGTACCCCCTTTTGGTTTGCAATTAGAGTGCATGACGATCAGAAGCAAATGCATGCAGTCAGGGTGAATAAACGCCTCAGATGGCCGACATAGCGACATATAACAGATATTAGGTAAATATTTGTGCCAAGAAATTAATTAAGCGGCACAGAAAGTCGGCAAGATATATATATATATATTCATTTATCGTACGTCTACGTAGGCAGGAATATTCGCAAAAGTCGAAATGTGTGTGTATTTGTGTGTGTGTGTGTGTGTGTGTGCAAATTATATTCATGAAAAATGCATTTCTAAATGGCTCTGAGTTTCTATTTTGGAAATCTATTTAAGAAATCAGCATTTCATTTCATACATGACTGATTGCCAAATGCAAAATGTTTATAAATAATTAAAGATACATCTATGCGGTTATTTATTAAGCTTTGAGAATGAATTTCAAAGCGAAGCAACGTCGAATGTGTTTAAAGAGAAAAAAATAAAAAGCTGACATTTATGTACGAATTAAAATATTAAGTATAATTTAATTGTTTGAAAATTGTCGACACGCAATGACGTTGTTGTTTAAATCATTCTGAAGAATGCTTACACTTAGTTTGGCGCCTCTAACTATTATAGATGTCGAAATTGAAGCGTTCATACATGCAGACAATAATACTTGCATGTTGGCTTTACAAGAATTTTGAAACTGTTTTACAATTGAGTTAAAGGAAAATTGCTTCAAGCCCACAATCGAGGCTCAAAGAACTGGATTACTGACAAATTCCTGTTGAATTTTGGACGCTGGATTTAAATTGAAATAAATGGCATTTAAAATGTTCAAAAGATTTAATAGACATGCAGATTTTAAATCATATAGACTTTTTCTAACTGATTGATGTTCAATCCACAGCCCAGGCGGTAAGAGCTAGGAAGCTGAAATGTTGTCACAAGCTTCATTTCACAGTGTAGGTGAAGCGCAAGAAAATTAATCCATCAATTGGAGGAAAAGGGCTGCGATTAAACTGAATTTGTGTGGATTGTGTTCAAAAAAATGAAGCAGAAAAAACAGTAGACTAAAATAATTTCAAAGTTTTCACAGATGCCATTTGATCCTTAATTAGAAAAGTCAATTTAAAGCAAGCGTAGAACGTTTAGGTTGTGCTAGCTCGGCTCTTGAATACCCTGAGAGCACCCTTTTCCCAGCTACAGCCATTCAAGTGAAGTGAACGGTTTTTGAACCAATCATACCAATGGCAGTTATATACTCGTAGGATATACTAGTTCACTGATTTGGAAAGTATTCCAGGTCATAAAGTCTTCGGCCTGATACATAGATTTGGTATTTAGAATTTCTCATACTATATATTCTTTCACCTTTCAGGCAGAGGTTCGCAATTATTCTGAAAGTATTTTCGTTTCAAGCAATTTAATGATTATGAAGCATTAAGTAAATAACGACGCATATCACGTTATGTTTGTTGTTTTTTTTTTTTTTTTTTTTTTTTTTGCTTAAATGTGCATAAAACTCTTAGCTCTGTACAATTTATGGAGAACTGATTCTCTGATCTTTAAAAATCATAAAGCGATATCTTCGTCTTCTTGCCCGAAACTTGGGTTGAATTTGAATTTTGCGCTTTGCCGCTCATTTGCATATTTCGCACCACATTAGCTCGAGTGAATGCCTAATTTTGTTTTTGTTTTCATTCTCGGCCCACACACACACAGATCACTCATACATATGAAGGCGTATGTGTGTGGTGGTATTTATTATTTAACAAATTGTCGTTGTCCACATTGCTGACAAAAGATGTGAATGTTTTTTTTTAGTGCTCCATTTTTCAGAAACAATTTTAAGAAATTATAAAAAAGGCAGCGAAGGCCGACGCCTGCCTGGGAAAGAATTTGAGTGGAAAATATTTAAGGAAAATAAATACAAGTATTTGAAAATAATTGAAAGAAGCGCTGAATGCATTGTTTGGGACAATTCTGCCATTAATGCCACTGATCGATAAAAAACAACGTTGAAGAAGCAGATAGAAAAAAGGTGAAGGTTGTTGTTGTTGCTGCTGTTGTTGTTGTTGCTGTTGTTGTTGTTGTGCTCAAAAATATAATATACTCGTGTGTCTGTGTGTGTGTTGTTATTGTTTTAGTTATCTGTTTAATTAAGTGGCTTTATTTATTTTCAATATACGAGCATTTCTGCCGAGCGTAAATAAAATGAAAGCAACAATTGCTAAACGATTGCAAGCAGTGGGTGGTTCGGTGGCTCGGTGGTTGTCGTTGGTATGGCGTCGCGGCGCGGTGCGGCGCTTCGATACAAATTCTTGACAAATGACTAACTACTGAGGAGCACACTTTTCTATTATTGTTCAATTTAAATTTAGAGTCCACAAGTAAATTCAAGCAGATTTGTGTTCAAAAAACATTTCCATTACAAAATACGTATTATATGAGAAGAGGAGAAGAGAAGAAAATGAAAACGTTTTCACTGCTGTTGTTGGAAAATTTGTACGCGCCGCTTTTCGTCACCGTTCTAAACGTCTCGAAATTTTATCATAAACTGATCTGCAAGTCTGTTTTCCCATATAGCATAGTTTATTTTTCGACGCTCGCGCAAAACGAAAAACGAGCAAAAACACATTATTTTTCTTTTTTCTTTAGCTTTCTGAATTTGAATTGAAAAGATTTTCTGCGGCATCAGCAGCGGCATCGGAAAAACGAAATGAAAATCAGCTCAACAACAAACAAAAGAAATATACGCTATGCTGAGAGTCTGGGTAAATGAATTTTGGGTCTTTAGAGCGCGTCTATAGTAGGTCTAGAGAGGGGCGGGGCGGGACGGGACGGACGCGCGATACATATTGAATTGACGTTAATGATGTTAATGAATGTGTGTGAAATGACTCGAAATTGGCAAGCAATTACATTTGTAAATCGAAAACAAAATCAACACAGCTCATCACTGAGCAGCAATGGGGGAAGGACACCAAGAGAAAGAGACAGACAGAGAGAGAGAGAGAGAGAGAGCGCGAAAGCTATGAATTATAATTAGCGCCTCCGTGGCAGCCAAACTGGGGGTGTGTGCCCCTTACGTCAAACCAAAAAGCCAATACAATAAAGAAACTAACACTAAACTACATATCGAAGCGGGCGGTTCTATAGATCAGTCAGTTGTTCGTCGTAATCCTTTTGAGATATTCTTTCTTTCTCCTGGATCGGCCCTCGCCGTCATGTCGTTATAACACTAATGTTTATGTCGCCCGTGACGCCCACACTACACATTCCCGGACGATATAATCCTGCTGAAATATGATTTGATTAAATCAAATGGCTTTCTATATACACACATACATACATATATGTATGTATGTATGTATTTATTTGGTCGATCATGACAATCGCCAGCGCGAAGAGCGAGACGAGTGCGTCGTGTGCCCATGATGCGGCCTCTTGACCAACTGCCAAGTGTGGCCGGTAATTTATTTGAAATGTTTTGGCTGACAAGAGATCGTAAATACATTTTCTACAAATCCCCCTGGACGACTGCTTTTCACTTACCGAAATCAGAGAGATTGACTTTCTCGAGGAACGGATCGGCCACAGGTAACTGAAAATAGAGGAGAATGTAAATCAGTAATGCATATAAATAAACAAATATAAATTATCTACTTTATTTCCAACAATATAGTATATACAAGATAATTTCTTAAGCCCAACCCGATGTATTTATTCAACAGTTTTTTATTTTGTTGTTTTTGTTTTGTGAGCTCAGGGACAGTTGATTTGTATTTTCGTTAAAAATAGGCAATTTGTGATTGTACTATATAAGCACTTCAGATAGTCGCATCAAAAGTGTAAACCGCTTAATCAGAGCGCCATAAACACTACGATGTGCAAACATAGATAGAGGAATGTAAGCTTCAATGAAATTTATTTATAACTAAACACGCACACACAGATCTGCACACACATAGATCTGCATTCAAAAACGTTTTAGAACACAAGCAGCTTAAATTAGCATTGAAATGTTAAATTAAGTATCTTAACATAGAATTATGATCATCAACAGAGTCTGTTACACACGCATTAATTCACACAAACCATGTATGCACGCATGAGTAGATCTGATCACATTGTTGTTATTCATTTGATTTAACACACAAAGCTTCTGTGCGCTCGTTATGTTACAAAAAAAAAACCGCCGTCTGATTCAACAAATTGTTGAGTAAACAAAAAGTATAGAAAAAACAGTAAATAATAAAAATGCCCAAAATCGCGCGCACGACAAGGGGAAATTTTTACAACACACCTACAGACAGAGCGCAGCACAATAAATTTACCAAGAGAGAGACGGAGAGAGAGAGAGTGATTGCGAGAGAGCAACTTACACTAGTCTTCCTAATGGGATGCTGTTGTTGTCGCTTAAATTTCTCAATTTGCTCCACACTGTAATCGCTGCGTCTGCGCATTAACAGACACTGATGCACTGGCGAATGAGTGCGCGGCGAGCCATTTGCGCTGCCAGCCGCCCCATTCCGCCTCTCATAGACTAGGGTCTGCTGCAGTGCAGCAGAAGTTGGAAATACCATCTCAGACTCATGTGAATGACCTGAAATGCTGTTTGGCAAACGATTGTAACGTGTTGTACCCAAACTGTTTGTAATGCTGTTATTGCTGTTGTTGTTGTTAGTGCTGGTCGATTGCAGCTTGCGTCGCAGCAACTGAGTAACTGCGGCGGCCGTTGATTTTTTGCCATCTTTGGTTTTGGCATTTTTTTGCCAACCATCTCCATCGCGGCGGCTTACGTGCTGCGAATGGTGTTGGCCATCGAGAATATCTTTGAGATTTGCATTGTTTAGCAGCTGATAGTTGGCGCTGGCTGTGGCATTGTTGCTAGCCGAATGTGACATCAGAGTCGGCAGGTGATGGTAGCGTTTTTTGCGATTCAGCGGAGAGTTGCTTAGCGAGCGCGCCTTGCGAGCGACTTTCGCATGCAGACTGTTTGAGATTTTCGATGGGCCGTTGTCGTCATTGTCGGGTAAATTTGGGTCAAAGCGCACACTTAATTTGTTTCCATTGTGGTTGTCGTTGCTTCTTGTTATTGTTTCCGGTGGGCGCGCTAATTTGGAGGTTGCTTGCGCCGGCAACATCGAAACTCGCGGCGCACTCGGCTCAAAGGCGGAATAGCGACGACGATACATGCTTTGTAAGAAGGCTGATGGCTAATTACAACAAAAATCACATGCACACTCGAACACACACACGCACGCACACGATATTGCAATGTCTGTGTCCGTGAAGTTGCGAACACGTCTGCGCGCTTGCAAATGTAAACGTAAACTGGTTAACAGTTTTTATACTCTTTTTTCCGTCGCTGCCACTGTTGCCGCTGCTGCTGCTTCTGCTCAGTGAGCGAACCGCCATATGATCGTCGTATGATGTGATTAACTGTATGTACGTGTGTGCGTGTGTGTGTGTATAAGTGTGCGTGTGCTAAAGCTTAAATAAACAAGAACCAGTGTTGCCAATTTGGCTATTTTCCCACAACTAGTTCTAGAAGTTTTCGAATGCCTATTACGGTTGAAATTGTAATATTGCGTCTTTTGTTTCTGATTTCGATCGAATTAGGGCTTAATTTTTCGATTATTTAAATACAATTGGCGTAACAGTGCACGAAGGAGTTTTAAGCTGGTTTTTGCCAAATCAATTTTGTTCTTTTGAAAGAGCAGTTTATCAAAAATTTCCAAGAATTAAAAGTTCTGTATAAATGATCTGAAATCTGACTCAACTGGATCATCTAGCGGGTTTCTTTTAAATACATATATGCCAAAAGAATTTGTAAAACCGAAAAATAAAAACTGCAGAGCTCTAACTGAAAAGTAGTTAGCGCATTAACACCGAACAGTTCAAATTACTAGAATTAGATACATTTTTTTGTTTAACCTTTGTTCGTATGCTTGCCAAAATTGTGATTACAGAATTGTGATTTGCAATCCTTAATGAGTTCCGAATGAATAGGTGAAGTTTATTTACAGAAATGATAATGGCATTTACGTTTAGTTAGCTTTTTCTAGCTTTTTATGAAGCTCATGAATTGGCGGCACTGACAAGAAACTGAAGCATTATTGTTCGTGTTTGCTTGTCCGCCTCGCTGCTTCTTCATTAAACAAATAGGCGCAAATAGAATGTTAATTTGTATGTATGTATGTGTTATGTATGTGTATGTGTATGTGTTGCTGATATGAAGTCCGATTCAGTGAGAGAGTGGGTGACAACGAGTGCGAGCAAGAGAGAGGGAGCGAGTATTTAATGTAGGATACAGTGTGCTGCAGTTTTTGACTACAAGACGACGCAACAGTTTGTTAAATTCGCTGTCACTGTCCGCTGTCCGTGACTCAGCAGCGAACGCAAGCGGAAGAGAGGGAGAGAGAAAAATATACCACGGCGAGCGATGTGTGTGTTTTGCTTGATAAACAAAACAAACTGTAAGAGATTATGACTATTGGTTCTTTTCAACATTTATTCCCTTGACGCGCCCCAAATTATCTCGCTGTGTATAATATACATATGTACATACATACATAAGTACATATTATTGGGCAATAGCATGTGAAATATGTGAAATGCACGCCAATTTATCATTATTGGACACAGAAGTGAAAAAATGTGTCAGTTAAGTACGCGTAATATGCACACATACATACATACATACAAGTAGGAATGAACGGGCCACAGCAATGGGGCTTTCACTGTGAAACGAACTAACGAACCGAGCAGTCAGCTGACGTCAAAAGTAACAGTAATAGAGACTGGCTAAAACAATTATGGTCAATACATGTACATATGCATACCAACAACTATAACAATAATGGCTAGATAATGGACAAACCAGTTCTAATTTAATGACCACGTCGTCGCATACTCGCATGCGTCCGTGGTCCGTGATTGCGAGTGGAAAAACAATGCGTAAGAGCTGGGAGCACAAGGTGTGCGATGGCCTTGCTGCTCTGCCACCATTGGAGAGCCAATTACGTCGCGGGCAGCACTAAACGGAAAAATATTACAACAAGTAGCCAGCCGAGCACTTGAATCGAAAAAACATCTAAATATATGCACATATGTTTATTTATATTTTAATACACAACGACCGCATACAAAGGCAAAGACTGACTCAATTTTATTGATTGCTAATGAAATTATTTACACACCCACGCTTACCTTTTGCCGAATTCGAACTCGCGCTCGCAGCCAAAATACTAATTACTCACATATTTAGCACATTTTAACAACAACAACAACAACAGCTCGAATTGTTATCAGTCTTCACATTCAATTTACGCCTCAAAAAATGTGTGTCGCTCACAATTGCGCCTTTAAACAATTTAAAGCGTTCACTCAATATGAACAATTTATTTCCTTATCGGGATTCTGATAAAAATTAAGTTTATTATGGCCCTAATCTTTGTGTTCGGGCACCATTTTAAAGTACACTGAACAGCGCGCCATTTTGGCAGCTAGAAAATTTAAATTCTGTAGCATGCCTGCAGGCGTGCTCTGTTAACAGCAGGCAATCGAAGGGGTCCCTAAAAGTATGCTACAACATTTCATAAATCAATAAATAAATATATCTGTGGAATTGCAAGCAAACAGTGTAAATACGAAACAGTTTTGCAAACGGCCTTCACAAAAACGAAACAAATTGGAAAACTTTTGTAAATACACTAGAAACCTTGAAATTGAGTGAGGAAAGATATAGAGCGTCATGGAATGGGGGAATAGTATTTGTTTGTACATGAAATGTCAATATTGCAAATGGCAGACAGCGGAAGTGGCCATGAATTCTTATGTATGTACATACTACTTGTATATATCTATTATAATTGTAATGAGATATAAGGAGCTATCCTACCATGAATGCATGCTGCACTGAGAGAAAAATAGCAGCCCAAAATGGATTTGAAATACGACGAAGTCGATGCTAGATTTAATAAAGTCCCAACAACTAAAAGCAATTCGAATAAATTGTATTTGAAGCAAAAAATCTTGACAAAAAGTGTAAGCAATATGTGAAGTCGCCCTTTCTCTCTCTCCCTATGGCCCGCTCTCATGCTCTTAATTCTTTGAATACGGGGGGGTTACGGATGTCTTTATGCCTAACATAATAAACGAAAACGAATTAAAAATTCAAATGAAAATAAGTTTCCCCCATTTTTAGAATAGAAATTTAGATTTTGTTGCTATATATTAAGCATTTTAAATTTTTTTTCTGTGTATACTACAAATGTTGCATTATTTGCACTGCATTGAACGTAAAATTGTTGAGAATTGTGGCATATTAGAATAATTTGGGTTTCAGCTTAAGGCTTCGCTTCAAATATAAACTAAAGAAATATCAAGAAGAGCAAATGAGGATTTCATCAGGTCTGTTTCCGCTTCCAAAGTCGAAGCAATTTTGAGCAATCGAAGTAAGATAAGCTTTTCTTTAGAGTCTTTTCAACAAGTCAATAATTTTGACTAATTTTGGAATTGCAATGCAAAATTTCAAAACTATCGATCTTCGAGTGGAAATCAAGCAGCACTACACTTTTGAAAAGCAAGAAACAATCACTAAATACTCATTTGTGTTTAAAATGTTAAATGGCGTATTTAAACCACCCTAGAACAGGCTCCAATATCCACTAATTTTTGTTTTTCACACTAATCTTATTTGAATTTAATAAACTTCGAACCATTGGCATTTAATTACGTATTTAAGAAGCTGGTTTTTCGACTCACCCCTCTTGAATCTCTGAATAATATAGCGGCACTGTGTGGATCTAGAGTGCCATCGCCGCGTGTTCCACGACCAGCAGCACCAACAGAAGCGCGTCGTTTCTCCAGCTCCGCCGAGGCGCGACGCATATGAGCACCTGTTTTATGGAAAAGCAATTAAAAATAGAGACATTAGAAAGAATTCCCAACTAATTATGGCAAGTATTAAGGACTACGGCAGATCTAAACTACAGCAAGTACCGATTGCAAGGGGGGAGACCTTTAACTATGTTACCTTCTTTGACAATACGATCGAAGATCTTGTAGGTGGCTCCGCAGTCCTCCAAAATGCGATTGCGTCTATTCAGCGAGTCGACATCGAGACTCTTGGAGCGCGTCCGGAAATTCTCTTGCGGATCGTTCAGAGGGGAGGTGCAGACACTGTTTGTCTGGTTATCATGATTTTTGCGTGGCCAGACATGCATCTTCTTGCCGAAATGCTTCAAAATCTCCTGTATGGAGTGATGATGATGATGGCCATGGCCGTGATGCCCATCGTGATGGCTGTGATGGTGCTTGGCCTTGTGCTTTGCCTCCTTGTGCGGCGATTGGCTTGTCTCGTGCTCATCGATGCTAAGACTTTTGGCAAAGGAAGACTTGTCGAATCGATGTCGAACCGAAGCATACACCCCCAAGGAATTGCCGCTATCCGTCCCCACTATTGCATAGTCGTCCAGCGAATTGTGAGCGGCGCTCACACGATGGAATATGGATATGGCCGTGGGTCGGTCGGAGGAACGCTGCGAGCTGGCGCCTGTATGTGTGAAATACTGATGGTCGCCCTGGCTTTCATAAATATCATCGAGATCATGTGGAAAGTAACCGCCCGAGGGCATAGGCGGTGGTGAGCCACAATCTGGGGCGCCACGGCGCATACTCTGTGAAAAAGGGGACAGTTATTTGATTAGTTGGATACGTTGGGTTGATGGACTAATCGAGCTTACGCCATAGGTCGCCGGACTGTGGGCTCGTTCGAAGATGCTGCGCTTCGAGGAAGGGGTACGCTTCAAGCTGCCACTGATGCCACTGCCACTTGTGTAGCAACTGTCATAGGAATTGCGTAGGGCGCTGCTACATCCTGGCTGGTCGACTCCTGCAGTGTTGCCGGCCAGATGTGTGGGAGAGTTGCGATAATGATTGGCCAGCGATTTGTGGGCATCGGGCACGGCTTGGGGCTGCGAATGCCGATCGGTTTGCCAACGGCCATAGGCACTGCCCGTAACTCCGCCTATGCCGCCGCTGCCGGCAGAGGTGTTCGAATTCGAACTGGAGCTGCTCAACGAGTCAACGCTATATAGACCACCACCTTCCCCTCCAGCAGGCGCCGTGCTGGTGGAATCATTGCTAATGCTATGGCTATAGCCATAGATATTGCGGCCGGCATGCTGGGACCAGCCCTCGCCCCCGCTCATCTGCTTCTCCATAGCATGCTGACGATAGAGATGCGTAATGCCATGCATTGTGTCCTCTGATTTGGTTAAATTGTGTTATTGCTACACTTTTTCAACGTAGTGTAAAACAAAAATTGTTGGTATTTGGCTTGTTTTTACTTTAGCGCCCGTCAAATTAGGTTTATTTTTTTAGGCACACTTCACTGCACCGCATTTGGGCTCTCTTTATTATTCACTTTTTGTCACTCCAAGTCTCTTTTTATCGAGCTTTCTTATGATTTGGTTTTGTTAAAGTCACATAATCGTTGCTGTTGTAAACCACTGTAAACAATATGTAAATGCATTTGTCGTTATGGCACTGTTATAGTTGTATGTTAATAACAGCGTCATAATTGTCTCTATTGTATTGTTGTTCAATTACTGTTGCATTCGGCACGTGTTGCATTCACTTGTTTGCATCCTCTCTCTATAAAATGCACTCACGAAGCTTTCGCGCTCTCTCGCCCGTGTGAGGGCCACACAAATTAGAGATGGGCCTGGCCGGCTTTTTTCGACGGGATTGCAGTACAGGTTCTAGCACAAAATTGATAGTTAATAAAATTTTTAACTACGCTCTTTTCGATCAAAATTATACACAGCAATAGGATCAAGTCAATAGTTTTCTAGAAACATTTACTTTAAGTTAAATCAAACATCGATCGAAACTTTCAACATATTTTCGTTGCTTTTTGATTGAACGCGAACAAAAACACGATCCATGCCCATCTCTAATACAAATGTTAAGAAATGATCGTCAGGTTGAACGCACTCGAATTAAGTCAAAGCTGCTGACGCTGTTAGCTGCGCCGTTCACGTCGACGACGTTGTCAACACATGTTTTAGTTTGTTTCAGATTTATACATATTTGTATTTGTTTATTATGTTACACATTTATCAACGTACAAATCTCCTGCTATATTCTTCTCTAGTTGTTGTTGCATTTGCCTGTTGAATATGTGCACAGCCCAGCCCACGAGAACTGCCTACTTACTTAAGCAAACAATAATAACAACAACTGCTTAAAACACGGACTAACGCACTCATCTGCATATGTTAAGTGGCTGCAGCTTAACAGCATTGCCGCCAGCAAGAGCAGCGCTAAAGAGTTCGAGAAAGAGAGGAAGACAGTGAGAGAGAGAGAGGCATCCGCTAGGCCTGCCATTGACGATGTACGATGACTGCGAATGCAGCGACATCGCGACACCAGCGGCATGCACTTGAGTAAGTTCACCCACATGCAAAGTCAATGTGCCTATACTATTTAGCCTTTCAGCGACACACCCTACAAAACAAAGTTGTATTGGCTTTGGTAGTGCTTTTGTAACGCCAGCTGTCGGAGCAACATTTTATAATTACCCAGATGAATGAATAATTTTCAGTTCGTAAATGGAACCGCAACATTTTGTATCTGAATATTAATTCTTCAAATGATGTCTAATACGTAATGCTCATTTAAAAAAAAAACGAGGAAAAATAAGATAGAACTACACTGGTCGGCACAATTATTTTGACGAACTGTACTCACGACTATCGGTGCTGGTTGCTTTTAGTTTCAAGGAATAACGGTACAATTTTCATACGGGATATAGAGTTCATAGCAACAACAATATGTAGGCAAAATATTTTGCCTATTACTCTTCACACCTTCTTTCTACAAATGACAATGTGAGTTGACTGCGGATTCAGGCACGGCATAAGTATTTTGACCAAATCTTTGTCGCCGTTTTCGCGTACGTTTTATCAAGTGATACTAAAATAACTTTGGTGTAACAATTTTTGTTGACCTTTTTACATTATTTTCATTAAAATTTGATTCAAAAGTAATCGATACAATGGTAAAAAAGACAGAATTAAGTTATGTTGTTAGAGCCTCAATAGTGGCGAAGTTTAATGCCGGCGTAGCACCAAAAGACATTGCAAATGAATATAATTTGTCGCGGCAAACAGTCCACTATCAAATTAACAAATATAAGACCCACAATGACGTCAAAAACTTGCCTAGATCAGGTGCTAACCGCAAAACAACACCCATTGAAGATCGAGTCCTATTGCGGGAATTTAAAAAAAATATTCATTTAAAGCCGCAAGCTGCTGCAGATCAATGGAATAAGTCGACCAAGACTCCAATCAGTGAGCGTACTGTTCGGCGACGCCTAAAAGAAGTAGATTTTAAGACATACAAAGCGAAGGACATACCTTACATATCAAAGGTGAACAAGCTCAAAAGATTGGCTTTTGCAAAGGAGCATCTGCATAAGCCAAAAGAGTTTTGGAGAAGCGTTCTATGGACAGATGAAAGCTCCTTTGAATACAATTCATCAAAAACAAAGATTTTTGTAAGGCTCCCACAGTTTCAAAGACAAAAAAATATCCCCGTATGTCAAAAAGTGAGCCATGGCGGAGGCTCAGTCATGTTCTGGGGATGCATTGCGTACAATGGGTTAGGTGATTTCGTTCCCATCACCGGCTCAATGAACCAGCAACAATATTTGAGTACCCTTAACGAAAACGCATTCCCTTCCGGTGACAGGCTGATTGGAGAATCATTTATCCTGCAACAGGATAACGCCCCATGCCACAAAAGCAAAATGATAAGAGCATTTTTAACCGATGTTGGTGTTACTACTCTGGATTGGCCACCACAAAGTCCGGACTTAAACGTTATTGAGAATGTGTGGTCTCTTGTAAAACGTAAAAGAAATGCGTCTTTGCATAAAACCGAAGAAGAAACTATTTCCGAGGTCACTTCTCTTTGGAAAGAGATACCATTAGAGGTCCTTCAAAATTTAGTGGACTCAGTTCCAAGACGTCTTCAAAAAGTTATCGAAGCCAAAGGCGGGTATACATTTTATTAATCTACCATCAATTTCTTATGTTTTGTTTAGTATTAAGCTTTGTTTTTTTTGTTAATATCCATTGTCAAAATACTTATGCCAACCCATGAAAATTACCTTGATTTATAATTTTAAAAGTCCTTATAAAAATATATCCTTTGAATTATTTTTAAGTTTGTAATACCAATATGGAATTGAGAAAAAAAATTTCCTTTGATATCTTAAACCAATAACCAGTTATTGACAAAAATGTATGATTTTCTTCTCGTCAAAATAATTGTGCCGACCAGTGTACTCGTTGCAATGCTCTGCAGTAAATGGAATAGTTGTTAAATGGAATTAAACAAATGGAGATGACCAGCCCCAGAATAACATTGAAATCAGTCTTCACTTACTTTTCTTCAAAAAATATGCTGCGACCGTATTCTGCGAGTATTTATTTGGTCATAATACAGACAATGTTCAACAAAATGTATGCTAATGTAAGTATTTCCTTTTACATTACTATAAAACATATTATTTAAAATGTTAGTGCGAACAAAATATTGACCATCGACGTTTAACTGCGCTCAACAGTTTTATTTATAAAAGTGTTGCCCCATTAAAAAAATATTGGAAGTGTTAAAAAATTTTGCACAAAAAAGTAAACCAAGCTGATTTTCTTTCAATTATTTAAGTACAATCGAAATGCTTGCAGTTTTTCTTTCTAAATATCTAAATTGTGGAAATAGCTTTTCTTTATTTCTCATTTCAAAAACAAATCTCAAAATGCTGTCAACGAATTTATGGAAAACAGCTGCCAACAGCAGTGCTGCCTAACACTAATTTATATAC